TTTTTTTTTTGCCGTGACAGCAATAAAAACACAAGGAGGAGAAAGATTACCAGGATTTATTATTATCCTCATATAAGTTATATTTAGACCTAAGAGTATTAAATGTATTGGTGCATACATGGACTTCGTGTGTACATGCACTTGTAGAATGATGAAGAAACCAACCCATTTTCACTCCCAACTCGTCAAATTGTTCGGCTTAGCCAGTTCCCCTTGTTGGAGGGACAGACTCTCTTCCTGCAGGGTAATGTTTGTGTCATGTGCAAAACTGAAAGTAAACATGAACATTTTGTCTCCTGAGTCGCCATGGTGACTTTTCCTCAACCTATTTGGAAAGGACACTGCAGTGCGTACCTACTGCGTCTAGCTTCTACGCGAGGTGAAGCGGGTGTTTGACGAGTCAGGAGTGAGAATGTGTCGAGTTCAGATTAAGCATGAAGCTTGTGTTTTCTTGTTTGGTGCATAACAATACCTGCATGAATGCCATGAAACAACAAAAATCACAGTTATTCCAGTAAATTGTGTCCCAAGACAGAAAACATCAATCAATTAACCGTCCAAAAAGTCCCATTTCGTCGCTTCAACATGGTCAAGTACACCTCCTGGATCTTTTTCCATGCGCGTGTCCTCCGGTCTGTCCGTAATCGGAGGTTCTGTGCCTGGCTTTCAGCGGTCGGCGTTCATCTTCCGTAGCTTTGCTGGCAGGTTGTCCTCTGGCCTCCCTCCAGCCGAGAGCAGAGGGCTGTGCATGGGGACCGGCGTGGGGGACAGTGCGGCCGTGGTTAATAGGCTGTGCTGGCACAGGTCTCCGGTAGACTGGGTCATGGGTTCAAAGTCCACCTGGAGCGACTTGAGGTGCAGCCGATTCTCCGCTTCGGGTCCTTGCGTGGCGCTGAGGCGCTGCAGCTTCAGAGGCAGGTCCCCCGTGCTGCAGGCCTTCTCCGAGTGGTGGGAGCTGAGCAGAAGCACCTTCCTCTGCAGGTCCTCCTTCCCGGATGAACTCATCCTCTGCAGCTTGCTCGGCAGTCGGCCGCCGGTCGCTCTCCTCCTTTCGTCCGATGTGTTGATGCAGTCCACTGAGAAGACCCGGTCACGGCGTGCGCCGTAGCTCTCAGTCAGTGCAGGGGAGGGACTGTGCGCGGGTGAGGCCAGTGAATTCTTCTCTTCGTACTCCTTGACGCTGTACGCCGGCGTCGGTACCTCGAACGTGCTGTGGAACTGAGAGTAGTCTACCCGGAAAAAGCCCTCCTCCAGGGACATCACCGGCAAGAAGCGGTGGCCCCACAGAACCTCATCCTCGGTGTATGACGTCCGGGCCTGGCAGGTCATGCCTACAAGAGACGGGCGACAAGGTGGCGATATTTAAGGGGTTTAGCGAAAACAATGAAATATGGAGGAAGGTGAAAGGGCAGCATTCCCTCCATCATTAGCTTTCTTTCTTCCAATATGCTTTTCTTAATTGCTTATAAGGTCATGGCCGCATGCTCCTTCCTGAGCACTCCACCACCTGGTCCGAAGTCGCACACTGGAGACTGACTGCAATCATAAACTGTATAGGAAGGACACTTAGCATGGTCTTAATGGTTCATTAAAGAAAGATAAGCAGCTATTACTGCCGTCCGATATTAATACTTCAATTCCCTCCCAAATTGTAAGCATGTGATCTCTGGTGCTCTGAAATATAACGCTTATTGGACATAAAAGACATCTTATAGACCATTTCAGGGGGACGTTTAACCGTCTTTAAATATTCCTTCCTGGAGCTCAGAGCAGTGTCGTTTGTTTGCATGCAATGCTGAGAGCTTCCCGTTGTCGTATGCTGTTGATGTGGACGAGAGGTGAAAGATACTTGTTATCAGTGCCGCTTGTGTGGGTCATGATAGTTACCAGTTTAAACCTGGTCCACGTGATAAACAGTCGCCTGTCACAGTTCACTCATCAATACATGAATGGCAGGAGCCATGAGTCCCGTCTGGACATGTTTTTATTGTAACTTGTGGTGTTGATGTGTGCTGTCATGAATCTGATCTAAAACACAATAAAGTATTGATAAAATGCTGGCATTCTTTTTTTCCAGGTGATTATCAATCATGCATAATTCAAAGAGGTTCTATTAAAATTGGTCATTGTCAAATCTCATCACACTTTTACTCCATTTGAGGTCTTATTTTAGATATTCGCTTTTATTTAGTTGTTTGATGATCAGTATGAGTCCACATCTGCTCCAGTGGATCTGCGTGTACTTGGTCCTTTCTGTTAAACACTACAGTTTGCTGTCGAGTAGGAGTCAGAGGGATGATGTGCACTGTGTTATGTCATAGCCTGATGCTATTCTAGGCTCACTAGTCATCTTCATCCGCGGAAAAGTCAGTTTAACATTTACACAAAGCTCATTTGGATTGCTAATTAGCCCAGATGGTTGTCACCACAAAGGCGAGGATAGTTTTTCCAGCTGTTTTCTCGTCTCTTCCCAGCAGGAGGATTTGAATATATTTCAGCTGACGGCAGATACGTTAGACAGCGGTCAAACCGGTGCAGTGAAAGCTTGAGGACTTAGAACCTGACAAGTATGCCAGTTTTGTTTAATCATTGATGTTTCATGTATCATCGGGGTTTTCCTCCAGCTGGTTAATGTTTACACCATCTTGTATTAAATTAAAAGCCCTCAGCCCCACAAGGCAAACACAACAGAGTGAGAAAGACGTCCCTGAAGAAAACTTTAGGCAAAATCTCTTGGAGTGGCCTTCGATTGGGCACTTTTTACAGAGAGCATTGTGGTGCTTTGCCTTTCACGTGATGCTCTGTTTGATGTACCCAAACACACAGAGAAGGGTTTATCATCTGCATGATAGGGAAAGTGCAACTATCACATGGTGTGGATATAACGGAGTAAAATCAATTCAAGAGATTTAACCCGAGCCGTGTGGACTACCCGTTACTCGATGGTTAACAAAGGTCTGTACCACGATGGTGACGTTCGCTTTTTGTTTGTTTGACATTCTTAAGGCTGTCGGTGTATGCGCTGCTTTTTCCAGTTTAAAAACATATGATTTATGTAAATGTGTAGCATATTTACATGGCCCATTTCTGGTTATCAGAGTACCTTCTCTTTTCAGATGGAGAACATTGAGCGCGTTTACATAAACATGAGTATACCATTTCTGATTGTGTTTTTGAAGTATCCCCTGAATCTGTTTGAGCATGTAAACATTATGTAAACCCGTAAAAGCTCATTTCCTCTTTATGTGTAACGTGAATTTCTCTGTGACAAAGTGGCGCCAATACCTGCACATGACAGAGACACAGTTTCAAGTAACATGACAGAGACACAGTTTCAAGTAAGTATCAACATTTCTGGAACAACAAAGAAACAAAGAGGCAAAAAAAAAGAGCCGTCACAACTTCCTTCACTGCTCCCCGTCCAGTGCGCCAGTAGTGGAAGTGACAGGCTCACACAAATGAAGAATAGCTTCATAAGAGAGGTGTCGCTGTGGAATTGGTATTTCATTGCCTGGTAAGTGTGTGGTCATGAAGGAGGATGTGGATAAGCTCAGAGAAGAAAGCCGTTGCAGAGCAGAGAGGAAACTAGCAGTTGAAAACGCATACAGACAAACAGCACACTCATTGGTGACAAGATATCCCTGAGGTGTCAGGACTAATTTATTACACGAGGGCTTGAAATGGTTTAGGTTATTTCTTTCCAAACAAAGAAATGTTTTAAATCAATGCAGTGATAATGCTTTGCCCAGTTTAGGCGTATTACCTGTTACTGTAACTGTCAAGGTTATATTTTCAGGGTATATGAATTGAGGAGAAACCCTAACCCCTAACCTCTAACTCAAATACCAGTCCTGCTAATTCTTCGGATGTGTTCGAACAGAAATGTCTCTGCCTCAAAGACACAAACTAATACTGGCATTAAGCTAGGCAGTCGAGGGGATACCTGTTAATGCGTTGGCGGTTAATGGGATGTGTGTGTCAGTTTGAAAAAGATGGGATGTATATCGTGCACACTGCCCTGCTCGTCTCCTCAGCTGTGACACAGCGCCGCAACACTAAACTTGTGTCTGCACCCTGATTTAATGGTATAATCAACAGAGCCCAGTGTTGCCTCCACGCTTCCCCGCTGATGCGTCCACGCAGCCCTAAGCCCGTTCAGCTCTGTGGTTTCTTCTGTAGCAGATGCAAAATTAGGGTTAGGGGGGATAGAAGCAGGCAGATGGATTTATGTGTATTGGACTCGAGGGGAAGAATAATTCTGTTTAAAACGGATATCTGTACTCCGCCTGTGGATTGCGGTGGCGGCTAGTGTACTCAGACGCATGCTAACAATGTCTCACAGGCTCAGAATAACCTACGCTCTCAAGTGTCATCTGAAAAATGGAGTGGAACTCTGACTAAAACCCAGGCCGTTCATCATACATGACCACAGGCTTTTATTATGCATAAGGTGGCAGGAAGCGTTTCAGAAGTAATAACATATCCCTCATAATTCAATCAGGGTGTCATGTGTTGTTCTCGTTTTTTCAGCTCCCACCTTCTTCAAATATGTAAAACCAAGAATTGAAGAAATGAGATTTCACAGATTTTGGGTCACTTGTATCTATTAGACAGGAGTGTTATGTGAGTTTGTATTGAAATAGGAATTTACATTTAGATTGAGAATGTGTGAGAGTGAAGAAAAGTAGAAATTAGAAAGTGATGGAAGTGGATACCAAAAGCATGAAAGGGTAGAAATAAGTGATGGGAAAAGTTTAATTCCAGAAAAATCCCTCACCAGTGGTCTCCACGATGCCCTCGAGGATAACAACAATCTCAAACTCTTCATTCATGAGAGAGCGCTGAGATAAGTCGAAAAACGGGCTCTTGGGATTGATTTCATGGCAGATGGTGAGAGGGGACACCAAGAAGAGCTGGTCTGCACCCGTCCCAAAACCAACATCCAGCTCACACTGGTCCAGAGGCAGGAACTCGCCCTCGGGTGTCTGACGAGACTGAAAGACAGTCAGGAGAGAGAAAGGGAGGGAGAGAGACAAAGAGAAAGAGAGAGCAGATGAAAGGTTACCTATTCAAAAGCATCAAAATGGATTAAAAGTATCAAAACTCAAAGTACTTCTCCTATGAAATACTTACTCCTGAGGCATTAAGGCACAAAGAACCCTTTGTTATAGCTGCTGGAGGCATTCGCTGCTGTCAAACCCCCCAAACGAGATTAAATCTGAGATAAACTAAATCAAAAAGATCTAAACGTGATTACTTCAGGAGGAAATGAGACAAACAAATTATGTTGGTCAGTTCTTTAACGTTTTCTTGAGCTGTCTCCTTTTTTGTGTAATATTGGAAACTTCCCCCTCTTTAGTCTCAAACTTAATCAAAATGAAACCATCTGAGATGTTTGATGAAAGGTCGAACCAATAAATGCAATAAGTGCATTATTAAAGCAATAAGGTACAAAAGGCTGTTCTTTGTTGTCCAATAATGTGACAGTTCGGGGTGTTGTTAGGCCTGACGCGCACCTAACAACACCCCCGAACTGCTTATTATTGGACGACAAAGTACAGCCTTTTGTATCTTATTGCTTAAAGAAAACCTCTAAAATGTGCTAAGGAAGCTCGACATTTTTTATGTCAGCCGCTAAATGCCCTGTATTTATTAGTTTATTCGATTTTATACGCAATTTGTATATATTTATTATGATGTAGCAGAAAATACAACTGTGATTGTAAAAACACCTAAAAGCCTGAACGTGTGCTCCCCGTCGGTTTCAAACTTCCTTTGTGCCCGGTTTGCAGTGGCCGCAGACTTGGCTCTTTGCTTTGATTTGCACGTGGGACACAGGTTTTGCACCACACTTGTCCACACAGGGTTAACTGCTGTGGAAAGCACTGACCTAATGACGTTGGCGCTCACCAATAAGGTCCTGGATGTATTTTCTTTTTTCCTCTCGTAATCCGTTTTATCAATTTGTTCACCTTTCTGTTCTTGTTTGCCTCCCTCACTTAGCAGTCTTTGTGTTCCTGCACAATTCCCGTCAATTTGTGGTAATTTTCTTACATCCTGCCGTCAGAAAAAAGGCTTGCTGCTTTTTATATATTGATTTTAATATTTTAAATATAAAAAAGTGTAATAGCCAACAATTTCAAAAAGTTGTTTCTGTGTCAAGATTTTTTTGTTTTTACCTTCAAAAGCTAAGATTATCTTTGCAAATTGACATAATTTAGATAATGAGGAGATGAGACACTTCTGGGGTTCACTTCTGGGGTTTTAATATACACGATCTTCACGTAGTCACAACAATTGTGATACTCAGGAAACTTTCTTTTTAAGTCAATATTTAAATAACAACAATGTTTTCACCGCCAAATACACTCATACTGCCCCCACACACACACGCACATACCCGCACACACACACACACAAACCCCCACACAGCTTTATGATGATCTCCTGGAAACAGACAGACAGACACATACACAGTCCCACCCCGTATCTGCCACATTTTCTGCCATCTTTAGATCTCTTATTCTCGTTAATCCTAAAATAATTGACACAATATTTCCTCAATGGAATTTTTTTCTTCCAGCCCTCACTGAGTGAGTGTCATAGATCATAGATCTGTTTGTTCAGGCCCAAAGTGGGATGACTTTTAGCACGCTGTGACTTCTGTCAGTTACATTATTACTGCACCTCTACTGCCCCCTAGTTACAGTTGCTGCGTCGGAGTTGATCAGATGTTGCTAGCAGGCAAATTAAGCTCAATGACCCAAATGATGTATGCTACTATACCTGCCGACATGGCTTGTTGCCATGGCAGCCTGTTACGACCCCTCCTTTCCTCTAGGGATTAGTGCCTTGCTCGCTGGCGCTGTGCTGTCTTTCACAATGTTGAAGTTTTGTTTGCTGCACATGCAGTACAGACAGTACAGATTACTGATAGCTGACTCAAGTTATTTGTATAGTTCATTTTATTCGTTAAATAAATGTAAATGTGTGTATTACTTTTAGCCCGTTTGAGCCGGGCTGTGACATCACTCTGGTATTTTAGCTATGAAAAGGTTAAATCTCAAATTACACACTTATTTTGTCTCTCTATTTGGCTACTTAACTGAGATGCTGTTGACTTCAGGGGGTAAGCATGCTCATTTTCATTGTGTGTTAAAGTACGGCGACCATGCTGTGTCCCAGTATGTCCGGTCTCCTGAAACCAGAACAAATATCCGTAAAAAAAAAAAAATATCACTAAAATCATTACTTTAATTATTAGTAATAATATACTGTATTTGTTTTCAATGCTTGCATAGACATGTATCATGTTCTGTCCCCCTCAAAATTGAACACAGATGTGTCCTTAGGCTTATGTGTCAATCAATCAAAGTGTATTTGTCAGGGGTGTCATAAGATGCTTGCATCTCTTTCTGACAGAACCTGTCAGACATTTTGACGGTTAACCGTCATGCCGAAGAGAAAGTCTGTCTTCTCCAAAGAGTTCTTTCTTTAAAGTAGGCCACCCGGCAACAGAAATGTTGTGTTCTGCACACAGGCTGTGTAAAACGTGGACGTAGTGTCCTAAGGCACCAAATGGGTGAGGGGAAGCCGTTGTGAAGCCTTGTGAAGCTGTCGTCTTTCTTGCAGTTGATCCAAAAATGGGCAAAGATGAATAGTTGGTGGGGCTCAGGGAGGCCCGGCTGATTAACTGAATCCTTAAATTCTGCAGTTGTCTTTTTTGAGAAAGTTTAAAAAAAAATAGCAAATGTTGAACAAGGTCCAGAATATTAAGCTCCAATTTAATGGAATTATAATGGTGGAAGACATTTTGCAGTCTTTACACCGAGGTTGTTGGAAAAGTATAAAAAGAGAGTGATTTATGTTGATTTTCATTCAGAAATAAAGTGGATTCATTACATCTCTTGCTTATCATCGAACATCAGCAAGCGACCAGTCAAACACTTTATCCAGACCTCTCAGTGACATTGCCCTATTATTTAACCCTCTGAGAAGCGACAAGTGTGAATGAAGTGTGAGTAATCAGGCTCTGCATTGCCAGAAAACGTTCTATTCCCATCTTCTGTGAATACCAATGAGCCGCTCTACTGGATTTATGTCTGGAGACCACTTCCATGGCGTTGTTCAGGTGCTTACGGGCCGCTCGGGTGGATGTGAGTTACTCTACGCTGGCTCAGGGAAATTCTGCATTTCACTTTCTGTCATCGCCACTGAAGATTAAAATGACGGACGACTGTGTGCAGACATTGACAGGCAAAGCGCCTCAAACAGACCCCGTTCGCGCTCTCCCACGCTTCTGCTGCACACAGATCCTGAGATGTACTGTTGTTTTTTTCATGTAAATTCTACACTGCATCAATCTCCCCAAGCTCTACCTTATCAAAGCAGGGACCTTTTTTATTTTGGGGAAATTGTACAGAAGAAAAAACAGACGTCCACACAAACACATGTACGCTGACTCACCAATCCGGACAACCTGTCAGCTGCTCATTACCATTAGAAAGGCATCATGGTTTTGTTTCATGCTCACAAAAGGTGGTGTGAATGATGTTTATGGATGACGACGGGAAATAAATAAAATTGATTAGAACTAATGTGGCCCGATGCTCCTTCCTACCCAACTCCACTCCACACCGATGGCCGAGCGCAGCCTCGGAGGGGGCTGGAGGAGGTTGTAGGACGCCGGGTTGAGTGACTAGCCGTCTCGTTTCACACTGGCTTTCCTTCTTCCATTACATTACATTACATTACATTACATTTCATTTAGCTGACGCTTTTATCCAAAGCGACGTACAATAAGTGCATTCAACCATAGGGTACAAACTCAGTACTTCCGGATACTGTCAGCCTATTTGGTACATTTAGAAAGGTTGGCAGTTGAAAGCGGTGGTAATTGGTGAAGATTTGCTTTCTGTCTTATTATCTGGTATTATCTGCAAATATGCAAAATTGAAGGGAAAAATCCCACTGGCTTTTTGTCGAGGAGCCGCACTCTATTGTGTTGTATTATACTGACAGCTGTTGTATTATTTTGTCTATCCCATTCATATCAATGAGGGTAGGCTACATAATTGAACCTATTTAATGCAATGCAGCTCGACAGCGCCATAAAACTAAAGTAACTGCTCGGTATGTCAGTACTCAGGTTGATCAGCATATCAAGTGACTTAAACATCATGACCATTGCTTCACTTCTACAATGTCTATGGAGTTCTATTCTTCTGAGACATTATACCTGATCATAATAACAACCCCTTAACTTAAACTTAATATCAACCAAAATTAAAACCTCTCTGAAAACTAACATCGAAATGAAATAATGTTTGAAAAGGTTTGTATGTGTTATGAGCTATTGACGTACATCATTTGAGTCCCCTTCTCTCCTCCTTTGCATCTCTAGAGTTGCATTACAGACCATCAAAATTTGGAATCACCAATTACTGTTCCATTAGACAGGAGTGTTATGTGAGCGTGACTAATTTCCAGAAGTCAATATGCTGACACGGTCCATTAAAAAGTTTTAGGAAACACTATTCCGATGATTTCACATTGGTCTTAGATGGCAGTTTTCACCATTCATTCCCAATAGTATGTCCATTGATTAATTTAACAGTTGTTCTTTTAAGGTTAATGTCAGGTGGAAGCTTACAATGTGCAGCACAACTTGTTGGGAGTAAGTGGATGAAAACTCAAGCGAGGATGAATGTTGAGTCTTACTAATTAGGAGGCTAAAGCTTAGCCTGCACCAAAAAATACATTGGGCAGGTCCGTCATCGGGTCAGTCAGATCACCACAACAACACTGTTATTTTTATTTTATTGATAATACGTGTAGACTTTGTGATCTGGTTTGTTTCCCTTCCACATAAAGTGTCTGAATCCTCAATGTGAGTCTCAATGACTTTAGCGGCTGTTGTAGCAGAAAAGGTGTCACAATGTTCTTGGCCCAAAACGTGTTTTGTTGTAAATCAGAGGCAGCCTCTGACTTATCAATTTAACAAAGCTCATGCATTATTTTGGTCAGGAGCATTATTTCTAATTTCAGTCTCCTGGCTCAGACACTACAAATATACACACTCATCTCCTACATGCCAGTTTTTGATTGCCGTGGTGCGAAAAACCCAAGAAGATGTTGTCCGTCCCTGCGTGCCTTTTGAGCACCTACAGAGAAAAACATCCCATTCAACTTTGCTTGTTAATCAGTGACTGCAGGGCTTCAAGGCCTTTATCTAGCACAACCTGATTGAACTGCATCTCTATTCTTATTAGACAAGAAATGGAAATCAATTCCAGTTTCAGTGTAAGTAGCCTATCCCGCAGTCCTCTGAGGAGATACACAGCCGAATGGATTTCTCTCCCTTGTATGAAGATACCACTCACACAATGAACATATCAGGAAGGTTTCCCTTTTTATTGCTAGCCTCTCTCCAGAACTTTCACCACTTTCCATCACTTTCAATTAGGTCTTTCGCTCTCTCCACCCTCCCGGTAAAACCAGTCACATCCCCAGCTGGGATGTTCTACCGGGACACGCTCTGAGGCCATCATGGAGGCTCTGCAAAGCAGCATTTCAGCTTCTTATGGCGAGGCTCTGCATCTGTCTCTACAGTAACCATCGGCGACCGTTCAGCGGAGCTCCACTGTCCGAATGCAGCAGTATCAACAAGTGGCTTCAACATGTACACAGCAAGTTGACACTCACTGGACAAAGTGAGGGCTGCGGCTTTATCTGAGCACTGAATTGTCCATCTACGATGGATGTTTTGTCACCTGGTTTTGATGTTTTCCAGTTGGTGAACATGTCGCTGCGTTCTGTCTGAGCTACTACGCGCCGTCTGTAGGATGCCAGGAATCAGTAACAGAGTCTGACAAAGGTTATATTGATGACCTATTAAGCATCTCCTGTCCCTCCACTGCAGGCGACCTGATTCCATAACAGAGCTTTGTCAGCGATAATGCTCCAGCTAATAGGAAAGAAAACAAATGACAGTGAAGACCAACAGTATCCAGCCTGTGGGCAGATGAACGGAGGCCCACGTCTAACCAAAACACAGAGTGCATCTTACTTTGGGGGTAAAAGTATGGTACTTTTATCTTACAATACAATGTACTGAAAGTTCTGCGACTACATGAATGGGGTCGAGACAATCGTTCCCGCCACAAAGGAATAGTAAGAGTATGGTCTTCTAAAATCTATCAAGAGTTTATTCACTCTGTTTACCCCCCCAAAACAAATAATTGTTCCTAAACTCTCTGCCAAACAAACACACACAAGTTACGTGGAGGTTAAAATACTTCCATTAATGTCTGAGTACTTTATATGATGAGGTTTAACTCGATGAGGGTTGCAGTTCAACAGCACCACCAACATTTCTTTACAGGGAGTGCACTGAAAGCGTTCAGTATAAAACCAAAAGAAAATGATTTGAGGGTTTTCTTTTGAATGTATAATCTAAATAAGGCTTTTGTTCTTGCACAATGACTCGTTTATTTGTTTGTGTTATGTACTCTGGCAGAGCTGCTGCAAAAACTCGGTAAGAGGTTCTTTGAAGCGAAAGAATAAGGTTAAAGCCCTTAAGCAATACTGTAAAACCCCACTAAGGAGCACATAGTGGGTGTGGATTTTTTGTTGTGTGTAGAAAATATGTGAGTTTTTCTATTGACTCTATTTCATGCAGTCCAGAAGTAAAGGTAAAGGAGAGTGAGTCTATAAAACAATCCTGTGTGCCTCGGATATGCATTTCTTTTTTAAGTAACACACTTTCTGAATGTTCTCCTTCTGGTGTCATTGCTCAAATTAATACATTAAATCTCATGACTAAGATTCACAGTGGGTGTGTTACACATTTGGTGAAAAATCTATTTGAGCTTCTGTCTCACAGGATACATAGGTCCATGTACGGGGGGGGGGGGGGGGTACGTTATGCCTGTGGGGGTGTTCACCCCTTCATGCTAGTAATAGTGAAATAGCCTACATGCATCATTAAGCGCAACTTCATGTAGAGAATGCAGCAATAAACAAGCTCCAAAGGCCCCACTAATGCTGCTTTCTTCTATGTGGCCCCTTTTGCACATTCGACATGAGAGGAGTCAGTCGACCTTCCTCGCGAGGGGATTTTCTGCGTTGTTGCTAGTTTTGCGAGATTTTTTTTAGCTGTATCCAAAATATTCATTAGTGGCTCATCAACAGTGACACAGATGGCATGACGGATTCACACACACACACACACACACACACAACGATGTGACTAAAACAGCTGTGTTTCTTTTTTTGTTGTCATTTTACATTTCAGCAAACAAAAACATAAAAAAATACCCTCTTAAGAAAAAAAAAAAAGAAGATAATGCATTTCTTTATGGGTGCCATAAATACACTTTATGCCCGAGTGCTCTTTCCCGGGGGGAAGCTGTTTTACTGACTCCAGTGATCTGAAGTGTTATGTGAGGCTCCCTCTCACCGTTGATTCAACTCACATAACTTTCCTCCTCAGGCGGCCATCTCACTGCCACATCCACTTACTGCTACACACCTATTTGTCGGGGTGTCGCCACTGATGCAGGACGCATTGTCGACCACCAACACTGCAGCACTTTGGTCTCTTTTCTCAGAGTCACAGTCAGCCTCACAACCCTGCAGCTGGAGGATTATGGCAATGACTTAAGGCTGTTGTTGTTGTTGTTTAACACATAATGGAACCTTTTTGTTTGTTTGTTTGGCTCTGGGTTCATTTTATCCTTCTTGCATATATATGTATGTGTATGTATGTGTGCATATATATATATATATATATATATATATATATATATATATATATATATATATATATATATATATATATATATATATTTAAAGCATATGCATGCATCCTTGCATGCTATCCTTATATTACAAGGCATGTTCATTTTAATGCAACTTTCCTGTTCAGTTCTATTATTTCTTAGTATGTTAAAAAATGGTCAGCATGTGCTTGACTTCCACTCAGCTCCCACACTTCGGTTTCGTTTGTTTTCAGAGACTTCTCGTGGTCATCATCAGAGAGTCTCTGGTGGTCGAGCTTACCTTTATGAGTTTGCACCTTATCTGAGCGGACACCATGTGGCTGTTCCGCAGGTTGCCCACGCGGAACATGAGGCAAAGTTTGCCGTCTCGCTGGGAAATCACGGCGTCCTGACTGAACATGAGCGTCTCTGCGCGTTTCTTAGGTTGTGACATTTTGATGAACATGCAGCCGATGAGAAAAGCGTCCACTATGGAGCCCATCAGCGACTGGAACAAGAAGAGGATGATGCCCTCCGGGCACTTCTCTGTAATGTACCGGTAACCGTATCCGATCGTGGCCTCGGTCTCGATGAAAAACAGAAAAGCGGAGGGGAAGTTGTAAACATTGGCCACGCAGGGGGTGTAGGAGGCGTCGTGGCCGTGATTCAGGTCTCCTCTGATGTAAGCGATGATCCACCACATCGATGCCATGACCAGCCAAGCGATCGTGTATGTTAGGATAAAGATGAGCATGTTCCATCGCCACTTCAGGTCAACCAAAGTGGTGAAGAGGTCAGAGAGGTACCTACTGGTCTCCCCGCCGAGGTTTCCGTGCTGCACATTGCAGCGACCGTTCTTGTCCACGAAGCGTTGGCGTTTCTTCTTCACTGGAGCAGAGAAAGTGTCAGCCCGATTCGTGTTAACCACCTGGTAGTCTTCGCCAAATTTTCTACGAAGTGCCGCCATTTGACCTGTCCTCAAGTAAATAGAAAATAACTTGCTTCTTAATCCATGTTGTTGATTGTTTGAACCTCCAAAAAACTGTTTCTGCTGTGCGTAAAATGTGCCATGGACACTTTAGCGCGCGTAAATCCTCGGAATGACCCTCCCCCAACCTCCCCCCCAAAAACACGCCTATGTCAGCGCTTTTCAGCCGCTGATTTTATACGTGTGTTATATGCATAAAAATCCACTTTTCTTCCAGTTATTTCACATGACATCAGAGGACCGCTGACTGAAGGTGCGCGCTCAGCCTCCACTGCCTCTGACTGGCGCGGTGCTCGCCAGCGGAGCGAAATACGAGCAGCTGTCTACCATTCACAGCTTCTGGTGGGCTGTGGAGAATGGAGAGATGAGTGTGTGTGAGGGAGAGATTGGAGGGGTGGGAGGGAGGGGGGGAGGGACAGAGGAGGGGAGAGTTACACAAGACTGCGTTTTGGTATAAAGAGAGAGAGAGAAGGAGAGGTGGACCATTTGACTCTTGTCAAATAACTAATTAGAAGATCAAAATCATTCATTCGTAATAAATGCTTACATTGCAGTTTCATTGAAGCTGATCCTCTGCGTGATCAACAGCACGCAGGGACACACGGAGCCTGAGTGATGATATCAGAGGATCTTTACCTTCATATTAAACTGTGCCATCTACTGGTAGGACGATACATGTGCATATATTTGATAACGGAAAACACAGTTCTTTTCCAGGCTTGGCCCATTTCAAGTCTTACATTCAATATGTGCTTCTCCTCTTTCCTGTGAAGCCTTGTTATATATTTAGACATTGGATTAGATGAGAGAGGATGATTTCCTGGACAAGTACCCCCTTCCCCCCCGAAGGACAGTCCAAAAAAGGATGCTACGGCCTTGGCTATCTTTGCCCTTGTATCAGTCAGACACAACTGTCTGAATTGCATGTAAGTGTAACTAATGGATTATTACAGTTTCAATCACAGGGGTGAGATGAAGGAGCCCTTGACTGATCAGCTGAACCTCCTTTCAACTGTTTTCCGCTCAGACCTTTAAAGGGTATTCCAGAAGCAAAAGAGGCCAGAAGTCTTACAAAACACAATCCAAAATCAGTTCATTGCATTATTTATGAAGTAATCTTAAAATTCCTGGGCAAGATATTTGAGTACTCTGTTTAAATTATGTAATGCATTGATTTGGTTTTCAAGTGTTTGCCTTGGGTTACTTCTTTTTAGTTGAGGCTTTTGGGGAGCTGTGTGATTGTACAGTTACATCACAACACAGAGACGGGAACTCATGAAGGGTAAGTTAATTATATAAATCGGTTTTCTTTTAATCTCATAAACTGCATTATGTGTGCATAATGACATGGCATATATGCCATTTATGTCATGATAATGACATGAATGGCAGTGTATGGTAAGTATGGTAAGGGAATATACAGTATTTGTGCTTTCAGGTAAAACATTTCCTGAATGTTAAACTCTCCTCTCCTCTTCTGGTGTGCAGAACAATCAGTCAAAATTGCGCATATAACATTAGGAAACAAGAAACACAGATATACTGCCAGAGCGCTTTCCTGTCGGCAGTCGGCTTAGTAATGATTGAGTGAACTAATTTGCCGTGGGCTTGAATTTTTTGGACGGTTATGTATCTGTTAAAGTCCAGCACTCCATCTTGACACAGGTAGATTCATCTAATGATTTTAGTAATGTTACAGGGGACTCCTCCAATTTAACAACATGTTAAGCTAAATCAGTATCCTTTAACGTTTCTAACACCAGACAGGTAGATCAAATACTGTATTTCAAGATAATTTGGAAATATTGTAATGTAATGGATTTGGATTAATCTTTTTTATTTAAGTGCATCATATTGTAGACATGATATTCCATCACCATGCACCAGAGCTGCAGGCGATAAAACCTACATCAGAACACAAAATGGGATTTGACTCGTCACCAACTACTAACATTGGTTTTGAAACGCCTTATTCAATTCAGCAGCTCTAGCTTGGCTTACTTATTAACATGTTATATTGCATTTGTTGAATCCATACAAAAACTCGTAAATGTAGAAGTCTTTTACTGGGGTTACATAACTGTTTCTCAGCAGGGCAAAGTAACTTCCTGCAGTAGGTTGCATGGCAACCTCACTGTGACTGTATACAGATGTTGTGCTAAGATAAGATACACAGCTGCTGGTCTTGGGTATTTATTTAGCGCAAGAAAGGTTTTCTTTTCACGGAAGTAGTACTTTGGATACAATTTCTGTATTCAAATAAATATCTTTAAAAACAGTTACAAAAGTTGGAAATCCCTTCCAACATAATAAATAGTAGACAGTCTTGGTTTGATCAATTTGACAGTGGCCTCAAGTGGTTTTGCAAGTGTATAGGTCCTGTCTTTTGCATAGAATAACTAATAAATTGGGTGTGGTATTGGCCAAGCTTTTGATTTTTAGCCTTTGCCAACAAATAAACTGTGAACCCAATAAAACCATCCATGAGTTGTTTTATCCCCACTGCTTAAGTCTGGCCACTGCACAGGCTTCCTAATACCTGACAAGTTACAGACGATCTGAGTATAGGGAGTTTTTACACGGCTGTGATCCTCCTGACAATTGAGGATTAAAGTGTAGACGGCCAAGATCGCCATCTGTTATGTGAAGGCATCAGTGAGAGAAATCCAATCCAGCCCACACACAGGAAACCACTGAAACCCGAATGCACAGTTTTCCTGGTTGCCAATGAGGAAGGAAATTTAGCGTATATATCGGAATAATTTGTTTTCAGTGTGTGTATGTGTGAGTAAGTGGGATGAATTTAGGGGAAGAGGGAGCAGGAACAAAGACATGCTGCAACGGCTGAATTATTAATGAGGAGTCAGAATTTATAATCATGTCATAGAATACACTAATTACCAACAATTTCAGGCATGGCATTATCGGACTATTTGTGATCCTTCACAGCAGTGGTCCGTGTCCTCTGTCTCCTTTGCAATGCGGCCAGATTACTCCAGTTAAGGCATGGATTCAAGGTGGAGTCAATGGCAACGACGTGGCTCTTAAGTGCAGGAGTCGTAGTGTCTCTGACCTCCCTGTCCCACACTGAGCTCACAGAAGTGACTAATGGAAAGCTGAGCCACATAATGACATTTCCTAACCTTGCATTGACATACAAGACTCACAATGGCACACCTAGTGGACTCCGTCCTTACAGGATGTTCTGTCTTTGTGTCTTTATGTGTATGTTCTATTGTGTTGTGCTGAAGCTTGACAGGATTTCACTTAAGGTAAACTGAATAATAACTGGAACCTATAATTGAAATATCTTTATATCAGAGGTGGATCACCTGTCTACCCGTTCAAACCCAAAAGAGAATGACGATTTGGGTCCTCTCTGCTTAATTTCACCTTCATTCAGCTCATTGTTTTGGCTTTACAGACCGCAATGTCATTATTCACTATTTTGTTACGCTTCCAGCACAGCAAACAAACAGCAGACAGGCAGCAAAGAACTTGGTACGGATCCCAAATCTGACATCCACTTTATTTACCTTAAAAAGCCATGCATGCTCGTTTTTTAGAAACACAGAGGTACAATTCAACCAGGATGGAAGCACACCTCTATGTTTTTTAAATCACAATGCAGCTTTAAAGTCATAATCTGACTTCCATCTACACTCAGTTCATCAATCGGCCATCATTCAAACACCCAAAGATGAGAGTGATTTCAAACCTATCACTGTCAGCTGTGTTGGTTGTCATGGATGATATTAAAAGGAGTAGGGACACTCCCTTTCTTTGCCGTTCTCTATCTGCATTTCTGAATTAATTAGTTCATTAACAAATCCAATTGTGAGTGGGGGGTGTGAGGACTGTCTGGTGTCCTTTTTAAACATATAGTCAGCATCACATCTATATACATCCGTCATGATCATCTGAATGACTGGTCTGAAAAGTTCAGCCCTTGGAATCTTAAGAACCTTTGTTTTTTCCTGCCAGTAAGGTGAGCTTTCCTTCTTGCTTTCTTTGATGGCTGAAATTATTTTTCCCTATGTTTTGTTTCTGGATGGTGCAATTAAGTACATTAAACTACTATTATACCGTTATATAGGATGAAATACAAATTGCGGAATAGGTGGCATTGTGGCACTTCAGCAAAAAATCCTCCCATTCTAGAGTGAGGTATGTTCTGCTTTCTGTCCCTCCATTTTACACGTTACACGACACGCTGCAGAATCACATAAACATCATTTTAAACTTTCAAATAGTGTAATAAAAATGTAGTTAATTGAACAATATATTTTTATGAATAAAATCGACATATTTTCTTAACGTTTCCACAAAGCATATTTTTAAATGGCATTTAATCTTCCTTTTTTGTTGTTGTTGTTGATATATTTAAATAAGTATCGGATCCCTCTTCGGGACGCGTCCGCCGGCAGGACCCAGAATCCTCTGCGCCGAGGCAAGATGGAAGAACCCAGCAGCTGCGGGAGAACAATGTTTTGGCTTTAGATATCGCAACGTACAGCCGAGGGTGAACCACACGAGCCACGGCAGCGGGTCATGGTCCTGCACTGGTAAGAGAAACGAATTTAAAAAAAAACGACTTTCGGGGGCAGAGGCGGCCGCCGTGGCAGCTCAACTCCTCGCACGGGACAGACAACAAAGCGCGGCGCGCTGCCGTTGACGTTACCGCTAGTTAGCTGCTAAGCTAGCCGCCGCGGCTAGCCCGGGCGAGCATCATTGTTCGCCGGAGTTGTGTGGGCCGTTTGTTATGGCTCGTGCTCGTGTTGTCGCTCTTGTCGCCTACGACTCGGCTCACGGACCAGGAAACGAACTCCACGACGTTGGAAGGAGGGGGGGAGAACAAAACGGTTAAGAATGAGTACAAACGATGCAGAGACCGGTGCCTGTTTTTGTTTTTGTTTTATTTCTCACGCGCTAACCAGCATTCGTCCTTGGTGGTTTCTCCCGTGCGCTCAGTTAACGTTTAGTAACGCCGGCGTGCGCTGATATCGGCTGCAAATGTGTTTAATGTCATACCAAAGAAAAGTACAAAACGAACTAACATTTTAAAAAAAGGGCACAGCCTTTCCACCTGCTTTGTGCTTTCCCCCCCTGCTTATCGTGGCTCGTTTGTTTGCTGTTCATCGCGCTCCGGTCGGCTGCTGTTATTTCATGGCCATATTAATTATTGCCTGATCCTGCATCACAAAGAAGGGCCCCGAGAGTGGTTAGCCGAATGGTTAGCATGGTAGCTAACGTTAATTGCAAGCATTATCGTTTTTACAAATTATCGCAAATTTAAGGTGCTCTTTACCCGTTTATTTTAACACATTTGAGAAATCCGAAGTTATCCGGAGTGGTTTAAGTCTGGTTTGCTTCATTAAAAGTTGTCTTTGTGTTAGCTGAGTAGGTTATTGCTGCTAGCGCCCCATCGGAGCTGAAGGCATTTGGCAGCACTCATTACGAGGAGGGATTGTAATCCTCTACTTTACGCGATAACGTGTGCAATTCAAAGAGAACTCGTTTCCGAAAATTCACAAACTTTATAAATTGCGTTGAGCATAGCATAGTATATACTTTGGATCTTACACCTGCATATCAACACCTACCGAATATCTACATTGGGACGTGACGCTCAGAGCGATTACAAAAATGCATTTGTTTATGCATCAACTGTGTAATCACACCAGTCTTTCTAATGCAGTCTGTACACTCTCATTGTCAGATAATCTCATGCAAATAGGATGACTGGGTCGGACAGGCCCATCAAACAGATTAACACTACTTCAATCCTCTCATTCCCCGTCTCATGTTGTGTCTAGCATTACAGCCAGTGACCTTTTTGCCCTGTGCGATAGCGTACAAACGCACTGTAATTAAAACAGGGAGAATTGTGTAGGCTATAACCCCAGCTTTGTCTGTTTTGTGTGTTTCCACCTGTCATGGTACCAGGCTGCAGCCTTTTTCTTGACCCATAAACCGTCCGGTGTAATCCGACTAAGCGGCCAGTTGTTGGATCAGAGGCCGCGGCACCGATTCCTAAAGACTGGGCTTAACTGGCTCTGTAATTGTTATCTGTTGTCTTTATTTGTGTATATCTTCACAGATTGCTATTCATAGGGCCTCCCTAAAACTAACCTATTGATATTTTAATGTCAACTCTCCCCCTTTCCTCACAGGATGACACTAATTGCCAACCCATAGTTTTCCTGCCCGCCGGCATCCATCATGAACATCATTCAAGACAAACTGGGCAATGAATACCTGCGCTCCAACGGGAGCATGGACTCCAATTTTGGCTCCGGCATGATAATGTTCAGCCACCTCCCTCCAGTGACCAGTTTCACCCGGCTGGCCGCCCACTCTGTCATGCAGGACGTTAATCCTCAAGAAATGGTCTTGAAGAAGGAACGCGAGTCGCCTGACTGCAGCATGGGTTACCAGGGTGGCCGCATGGGCTGCACGGGCCCGGGAGACTATGTTCACCCCATGGGTATCAAGCAGGAGAAGCTGTCGGAGCACGATTACCGCCTGCCGGTTTACCCCGGAGGGCTGGGGAAGAGCACTGAGCTGCTGGAGGTGACTGTCAGCAACAACCAGAACCTGCTGGTGCATGACCTCAACATGGCTAACGTAAGTACCGCTGATGGGAAGATGGCTGTGCTTGAGTTTGAAGCAGGAACAAATGATCAATCTAAGTTGACTGAAAATATACCACCCAATTTCCTTCTAATTCATTGATTGAATGAAATGTGGGAGCAAAACTGGATTAAGCACGATTGCATCTGCAGGTTGGATTACTTTACTTAAAGTTGCTTTCTCCCCAACTGGTTTTAATATCAAGATATTGATGTACGTTAATATTTAAAATTAAAGAAACCTCATTGTATTAAGACCTCATCACAAACCATGAAATAAGGAACATATGTGAATAGGAACTGGTAAAATAACAGGACAATATATATTATATAATATAGATTTATTTCTGTGGCTCTAAAAGTGATTGCAATTTAATATTTTAAGTATCGGTAAGAATTGACCTCATAGAAAGCTACATGACTGCTGATTTAGACTTTTCCTTTGGAGCATTGTTATGTGATTAGCTACGGCTTGTTAACATTGTTGTATCCACATGAGACGTATAGGCCCAGATTGTAAAAAAAAAAAAAAAAACTGCAAAAAACCCTGACTTAATTTAGAATAATTGAAGGTGAATTTGTCCCACACGACGTTGCTCTGCTCTGTTGTGAAGCAGCTGATTTTTCAGAAACCCGAGGAGAGGGGCCTGGGAGAAGATGGGTTCAGGGGAGGAGCTTGTTTGAAACTGTTTATGGTGACATAAATCTACCAAGGCTTGAGATGCAAAATATAAATGCGCTCCCCTCTCCCCTCCCTGTTTCTCTTCCTGGGTAGAAGGATGATGTCATGCAGCCTCAGCATGAATGAAAACGTCCTCACAAGGGCACAGCTGTCTTGTCTGAGCTTGCACTTCATTTAACACGTCTTTTGTGCTCATTTAAATAGAAATACACACAACCACAGTTCTAACAAAAGCCAGGCATCGGAGGACATCGGGGCTCCAGACGCAAGTTTGATGGGAAACCTAATTAATTATTGTTGTCTTTGTGACAATTTAAATTGTTTTCATTCTCTTATTCACTACATGTTTTTTATTTTTAGGATTTCAATACAACACGGGGTGCGCACAGATAAATAGATCAGTCTGGCTCATTCTTATTTTTATTCTCAGGAGAGCTGATGTTGATGAAATAATCCCTTGAGTCTTTGGTTCCCTTTTTTTCTATCCTAACTATTGGTCGTATTTTGGGACAAGCTGGAGAGCCCACATTTCCCCGCAGTCTGCGTTTGGCCCTGACGTGCAGTATATTCACTTGGAGAGAAAAAGATCCTACGGGGGAGCCAGGAGCCGATTTATTTTAGGGAAAATTCCCCTTCAAAGATTTTATAGCGCTAACGTTTAAGAGTTGTACTTCTACTGGATGATTAAAGTGCAGTGCAGTTTTTAAGTTTCTTTGTTTAGAAGAAGGAGATAAAAGACTTAACATTGAGATGGCAGCTGCCTACGCAGAGAAAGCTCCTACCTTTTAAGGCGTTTTCCCCCCACTGGGACAAATCTTGCACAATGAGTTTCCAACAAACAATCAGTAGACATTATCTGTGTGTTTTTGTTTGTTTAAAAAGCATAAAACATGATTGGTATGCATCATATTTAAAGATTGAATGCCCCTTATCTTCAATCTCATAATTACCGTAACGTGGCTCAGTCTCACGCTCACAGACCTTTCCCTTTGTCACCATCACAGCTGCCGGGTCAGTTAGGAAAAGAGCCCACAGGGAGAAAGGGTCGTAGGTCAAATGGTGATGGACAGGAGGGTAAACCAAGAAAGAAGAGAAGCGAGGCAAAGGTTTGTTATATGTTTATACATCTGTGAATGTTCTCGTATGTACTCTTTTAAATTTTTTACCAAGTAACCATCTTTTTAGCGAATAAGCAATTCCTTACAAAGACAAAAGAATAGTAATTTGCTCTGTTAACATTGAAAATTTCTGCCTTTTGTAAAACACAAACAAGGTAACTAGTAATCTATTATTCATTTCCCATAGAATAATTTGATACATGTAAGGTGTCATTTTGTCTACTTCTGTTAGTATTAGCGTAATGTGTGTAGGGCTCATCATACATATCCATTCTACTCTATGTGAACTCTTCCATTAAATAGATTAAGATTAATATAGACAATGTCTGACCGTGTCTCTGTTGTTCCACAGCAATCAATGATGCTGGATGCAGATGGCTGCCTGTCGCCGGGAACAAAGCCCCACATCTGTGAGCACTGCGCCGCATCCTTCAGAAGCTCCTATCACTTGCGCAGACACGTTCTCATCCACACAGGTATTTAGGCGTCCACACGTCCCCTACGATGCTTATATTTTCTCCCTCGCGTGCTTCTCGATGTCGACTTAAGTTCACTTCATCCAACATTGTCTTCAGCTAGTTCTCGACCTGCTCGCTCAGTAAGAGTTCTGAAGAAAAAACAATTTTCTGCCAAAAATGTAGGTTGTTTGAAAGGATCCCTGGCCCGTAGCGTCACACATGAAGAAACATCAATCAAACTGCCTGTCGTTTTGATGCATCACAGCGCAGCAACGTGTGCGGCTGTTAACTTTAACAAACCGAGTCATGTCAAAATGACATTACTGTGACGGAAACTGAGGGCAGCACGACCTGGAGTCCTTTTTTTTGGAGTTCTCTGCTCCGTCGCGTTCAGCTCCAGGCCTGAATGTCTGCAGAGTCAGCTAAATTACTGCTGGTCCAACCTGTAATACTGCATTATAATGCACAATGGAGCGGTATTTTTAGTCTTGTGTCAACGTATGCATAATTGGTTCCTTCTGTCTCGACACAGGATCGATTACTTGAAAATCACTGTTTCCCTGTTAATCTCATCTTTCCCATTTCATTTGTGTAATGTTTCTGAGTTAGCAGTTATGAGATAATTGCTTTCTTCTTAAAACTGTTCGAAATGGTATATCAGGTAGAGCTCAAGTAGCATATGCAACACATACTACTTTTGGTGAACACTGATTCATTACTTCTTACAAGTGCTTGTGTTTCTACAGAAGGGTAATGGCGAGGGGAAGCAATATGGAACCCGTATAAACCAAATTTTGTTTCAGGTGAAAGACCCTTCAGATGCAATCAGTGCAACATGAGTTTCATTCAGAAATACCTTCTTCAGCGACACGAGAAAATCCACAGCGGTGAGTGTTTATCGAACAACCACCCGCACCGTATCTGCTTTAATCTGTGAGTCATTGTGTGCATTTAACCCTGAGCGTTTGTTTTATATTGCAGGAGAGAAGCCATTCAGCTGTGACCAGTGTAACATGCGGTTCATTCAGAAGTACCACATGGAGAGGCACAAGAGGACTCACAGCGGAGAAAAGCCGTACAGATGTGAGACCTGCCAACAGGTCCGTGAGCTGCTCAGAATCTTGATTATCAAATGTGATCAAAACTTTAAAATGACATTTGGTATTATTCCCGTCAGTATTTTTCTAGGACCGACCGACTGCTGAAGCACAAGCGGACCTGCGGAGATCCCATAAAGAAGGGGCTGGATCCTGGCATGATGGACCTCGGTTGTGTAGGCTTGGGAAATGGCAGCTATGGAATCACTCAGGGAAATGCTGGGAGAAAGAGGGGGAGGTCCAAAAACTCCGGAGAGGGGGGGGGGCGCAAGAAGAAGGGGGACGGAGGAGGGTTGAGGGTACCGCATATTCGCGGGAACGTGCCTGAAGGCTACAGCATCCACGATTACTCGATGGAGAATCATACCGTGTCCTCCTCCACTGAGCCGGGATCCAGCATGCAGCAGGGCCACCAGGGCCGGTCCCCAAAGATGGCCTTCAAGAAGGCCAACCGCAAGAGCCTGGATAAAGCGGCCCCGGGACAGCCCAAAGCGGGCTCGTTGGAGCAGAGCGATGGCATGGACGGCCTGGGCCTCCTGCACGCTAACGGGTCTAAAGGAGCGCCCGCCACCAGCACCAGCAACTACGACGACGCCATGCAGTTCCTCAAAAAGCGGCGCTACCTTAACGCGGCCAACGGTGCAAACCCATCGGGGCCCGGGGTGGGCGGAGGAGCCGGCGGCGAATACGACGTCGGTCACTTGTCCTCCCACCACGCGGTCATTCAGGGCGTCGTTTCCAGCGTGCTGGACAGCGACGCGGCGCTCAGCCTCGACAAGTCCGGCATCCCGGACGAGGTGCTGCAGAGCCTCCTCGACCACTACGCCCAGAAACCCGACGGCTCGCACCACGACGTCCACTTTGACATCAGCGACCATCCCGTGGAGCTTCACCACGGCGCGGTGGACTGCTCTGACATCGGCCACAACCCCGGCGCCTCCAGCCCGTCCGGAGACAAGACCGTCATGATGCACGAGTACTCTCGCTTCCTGCTGCAGGCTCTGGAGCGCACCAGCCACAGTGCCGGCTTCCCGCTGGGCCTCGGGTCCGCCGCCTCCGGGCCGTTCACCAGCTCCCAGGGAAACCCCCTCTACGCTGACAAGAACATTTACACTACGTCCCCGATGGAGTGCGGGTTCGGCCAGTCTGTGGCCTCGCCTTCGCTGCCCTCCTCTGTGCCAAAGTCTCACTTTGCGATGCTGACGGGATCCTCGCCGCAGCACAGCTTCCACCTGAGCGGCCTTGAGGCCTCCACACACCAGCAGCTCACCCCTTCTCAGGAGCTCACTGACCAGATGGAGAAGCGGCACTCCTCCACTCCCCCGTCCTCCTACCAGATTAGCCCGTCTGACCTGAGCACCCAGAAGGACCAAGCTCCGCTCAAGAACGGCACGGTGGTCTACGCGCTGGCCCCCTCGCAGGATTTGGCCTCTCTGGACTCCTCCAAGCCTTCGTACCAGATAGAAAACTTTGCCCAGGCCTTTGGCTCCCAGTTCAAGTCAGAAGGGCGTGGCCTGTCTTATGGCGCTGACTCGAGCGGGGAGGTGGATCACAGAATACGGACGCCTGTGTCTGAATTCTCAGGGTATAGTAGTTTGTTAGCCGATGTCAATGAGCCGGTAAGTACAGGTTCCAAAACTACAACAAGCCAAAGCTACAGATGAGAGAACACTCGTTAAATTTGGTGTTCTCCTTTAATTTTAGTGCTCCTATTTTATTAATATTATTGTTATTATTATGTTTAATTTTATTATTATAATAATGCTGGTTTTGTGCCCTCTCCTCTCCCCACAATAAGCCCACATGGCTTCCTGCAAATGCAATTTTTTAAATTCTGTTTATTTTAAGTTAAATGTGTATTTACTGTTTGTTCTTGTCTTATTAGTGGCATTATGTCTGGTCATAATTCATGAGCTGAAAGTACATTTTAAATAATTATAGATTAGTACATGACCTACTTCTTTTACAATGAGCTACGGTTTTTGGGCAATCAACTTTGCAATTGTAAAACAATAATAAATCATCACGATGGCAGGGAATAGCCCAGAGTTAAAATGGCAAAAAAGCAAAAAAATAATAAAGCTGTCTGCTACAAGGTTTAAAGTATTACTCAGGAAAAGGTGGAAAAGAGACGTCTACGAGGTGCAGTGAGCGCTCTTTTCAGAAGTTTGTGACTTCCAAGAGGATTTTTCTTATGTTTTATTACTTGTTGAATGAGTGTGACATAAACAGACTGCTGCCAGCTCACCTGAGCACTGAAAACACTTTCTACTTGGCTAAATAGAGATTATGGTACTTTCGTGTCAATGTGAAACTCCTGTTTTCTTAAATAAGGGCCATATATATAGATATATAGATAGATATATCTATATATCTATATTTATAAGAATATATCTTGATGTAAAATAGCAGATTTAATCATTCTGGGGAAGTGCCAGTTGAAGTTGAGAAGCATGAGCGCTGCTTCTGGGGTAAATGTTGTCTGTGATATATTTTTGGAGAACAAAAATGATGTTCAATGCTTATCTTTGCCCCCCCCCACCCCCAATGCCCCGCCCTCTGCTTCTTCCTCGGTTATAGTTATTTTATAGAATCCAGTTAGCACTTTGAGCCGTTTTCTTACATTGCCATGTCTGATCAATGAAGCGCAAACATCAGGAATGGACTGGCTTTTTGACAGCTGTGTTTGGGTATATGCAGATGTGGTCTCTGGGTGGAGCATATTCTGGCTGAATGATGTGGATACCCTTTGTTTGGGCAGCATGGTTTATAAGGACACGGGGGGTCAAAGGAGTTGACACATGAAAGTGGGATTCTTCATCATTTTCTTTCTCCTTTTAGGGAGGGCTTAGATTTGGTTGGGAGGGTGTTTAAAAAAATAAAGTACCATTTACTCGGGATAATGTAAATGTATTTCAAACCTCTAGTGTTAGTTTTGACTTGTTACTTAGAAGCTTTGCTTTCTTAATGAATTTGATGACAAATGTGTTAGTGGTCAAGTATTTTCTTCAGCTGTTACTGAGAGGCAGCCATAAATACTGAGCAAAAAGGTGGCTGACCAAAAAGTTGTGTGCGTTTAGGCATTTCACGTGTGCTGGCAGTACCAAGCGTTATGTCTTGTTAGAATTTGGGTGCCTATTCCTGTGAAGTGCAGGCTGCAAGATTATTGTCTAGTAAATGTTAAATTTCTTGCGGATTTTTTTTCTCCATGTATTTATGTACAATTCTTTCGTAAAGCCAACAATAAGTACGCTGTCTTCCTACAACTGGCCTTGAGTGCTAGAAAATGATATCGCTCTGCTGAATGAGTGCTTGAACCCCTTTACACCCCGACGGCCTGTTTTCAGCAATCATTAAACACGGCAGAGTGAACGCGATGCGTGACGTCTGCAGTAACGTGTCGCCGTGCTGAACGGCGGAGGCGTTAAAAGGGATTTGCCTTGCGTATACCTCATATCATAGTGAACCAGGATAAAGGAGTGAAGGTTTGATGTATGTAGCAGAGCTGCTGCTGTATGTATGGAGGGGATAAAAAAAGATGTCATGTTTCTGTGCGACTAGCTTAGTGTACATGCCATTTATGTGACCCACTAAGACTTACGGGTTAAAGTAAATGTCTTATGCCAGCCAGTGTTCATCTCTCCAGTTTGACCGATATCCAGATCTAATTAGCCATATTGTTTCAATATGCTTATTGTTTACAAAGAAAATGTACAAAACACTAAATCTTATTCTGACCCCTGTATAAATTGTATTTTACTATATTACTCCCCTGCCCCCCTCCCTCCCCTTTTTTTTTATTTTTTTTTTTTTATTGGCACCACATTTTGTAGCTGATCTCCTCCAGCTCCTTGTGACATGTTTCACAAGACTGTATTTGTCCAATGAATTTAAAACTGATTAGGAAGAAAACAATAAATACTGTTATCAAGAGCTGTTGTTGTCCTCGTGTGTGTGTGTGTGTGTGTGAGAGATGCCGCTGCGTTAGTTCTTCAGTTAGCTGGTGAGTTGCCATAGTAACCATTTTGCTCATACGCTCAACACGGAAGTGAAAGAACATAAGCGGCTTACTAGAGCTCCGTGTGGAGTGAACTTATTCCCCCACTGGGTGGTGGTGTTTTTCTAGAAGTGAGAAAACGTAGGCAGGTGCGGCCTTAGAATGATGAATCCCAATCTGCCGTGAATCGAAAGCTGGTGCCCCGTTGCTCCTATTCAGCATAGGCAATGTGTATTTATCAAAACGGACACATGATTATGTGTAAAATAATTAGTTGCACAATTACGAAGGAGAGAAATATTCCATTTCCAATAACTGTATAACTACTTATTGTGTGTAACAGTGCTCCTAAGTACAAATCCCAAATAAGAACATCGGTAAATGCCAGAATCTTAGTGAAAACTGCGTGAGTGGAGATTAAGCACAAATTTGTTCTTAAGAACATTTGGTGAATGAAGTCCATCGTGCGTCCCTTTCAGCAGTTGTTTGGCTGTGTTTCGGCACTGGAATTTAGCGCACAGTAAGTTCCCAGTATCACACATCATACATCATGAAACTGATCTTGGAGCTGGTGTTTCAAGATTGAGCAAGAATACTAAATAATCCACCTTCCAGTTAATTAAAGCCCCCTCACCACCCCCACATCTAGAATGTTATGAGTATGCAAATACCTACATGTTTTTGATTTCAATTATTTGAAAATATGTAAATATTTTAATGTATTTGTCATGAATTTTTCTGACAGTATCAGTGCTTATGAAAAACCTTAAAAGGGAGAAGAAAGGAGAAAAGCAGACCGTGTACTTTGGATTGAGATATCATTCGACCAAGTTGAGGAAATACAGAACAAGTGACTCACTATTCTGATTTCCCTTTTGGTTGTGCGTGTGAATTATACTGCTTCGTTACATCAAAAAGAGAAGTAGATATTCTTCCTGTAACCACAGAAAAAAATACCTGTCTGAGTTATGCTTGCCAACACGGATTTGCTTATCTATTCATACTTTCATTCACACCCAAATTCTGTGTAACTCTGTGCTATTTCCATGTCCAGTTAATAAATTACTTCTATTGAAGGTTCTGACAATGATGATTTCACCAAAGTTTCTGTCGATCATTTCCTACACTTAGAACTTTCTGTGCCTCACAGTCTGTCAGTATCGAGAAGCACATCGCACTCGTTGGGCCGTGGAAGTAAGAAGCAAGAACGGTGCAGGTGTGGCGCATTTTTGTTTAGTGACCGATGGGTTGACTTGCTCAGGATGGGGTCGCCAGTGAAACTAACCCTTAATCCTCCCAGATCAATTTTTAATTTGGGGCTAAAGCAGATCCCGAGTTACCTCTTGAGGCGTGCCGAACTCTTAGCTACTTATTGACACGGCTCTCCTTCGGCGTCTCTTGATGTCTCTTTCCCTTTCTGTAGGATGTAGCTCACCAGTGACGTGAATTATGTTCTTATCTGCAAAACTGGGAGGAGTCCGGAAATTTGGTTGTGTACATAGTGAGATACTAAACGGAGGAAGGCAAGGTAATAAAAACAGTGGAGTGGGTTTTGATGATGCTGTGTCATGGGACATGAATTTTTCTTTTTGTCTGCCATATAGCCAGTCTACAATTTCTGTCCAGAAAAGAACTGGTTGTGAATTGCTATGAAATTGGGTTCATAATAAAAATATTGAATATAATATAAAAATATAATATTCTATTCCACTTCTGCCAATGAATCCCCTTTAATCAGACACACGACTACAATAACTAATGTTAGAAATACTAATGTTCATTTTTTCTCCAAAAAAGTGCAATATTTCATGTTATGGATCGAGAACTGTTTCCCTAAAAATCCAGTGCGTAAATAAGGCACACTTGTGTCAACACTCTGTCCTTGGGCATTTTGGTGGTTGCAAGGCTAAAACTGACAAAAGGAATTGAAAAATGTTACAAAGTCCTTGAGTATTTGCAATAGATAAGTGTGAGGTTGCCAAGGTGTTTGTTCATGTACTGCTGGATATCTGTTGTGACTTTATGAAGGAGCGTCCCAGAGCAAAGCCATAAAAGCTCTGCTTGGCACCGTGGAATGTGAAACCCTTGTGAGTGAGTGGGAGTGGAAATTGTTTATCATAAATATGTTAATTGGTTTGAGTGATAAATTTAATAATTAACAACAACAACAACACAACTTGTTATCCAAGTTCAAGAGTAAACATTCCTCCTTCACAATTTAACTTTAACTTTTCTCATCTGCAATTTGATGTTTTTCCGTGAAAGACTGAACATAAAGAATCGCAATATATTTTGAAATATGTTACATTACATTACAGGTCATTTAGCAGACGCTTTTATCCAAAGCGACTTACATTACATTTTTACATCTTTGCCCGGGAAGCAATTTTGATCCCTTATTATCCTTTAAACACTCCCCTTTACACACTCATTAATCCACTTATAGAAACAGTTATTAGTTCATACTTCTCAGCGGCAGACCTAAAAATAAACCGGATGTTTTTTTGATAACTACAGATAAATGTGCCCTTGATAAGCAGCGATATCAGTGACACAGTTGGCTGACTTAGTTGAGAGATATTAGACCTTCAGCTACAATGTCAAACTCCATAATGCAACGGGGTTTCATTTAATAAACATGTTACTGTTCATCTCATTTGTTTACTTTTGTTCAACATGTAAAAACACCCGGCTGTATTATCCACAGTTAAGTAAATGTTGAGGCAGTTTTGTAATAAACCAGAGCAATAAAAAACATTGTCAGAGACGTCACGCGTCCCCCGTCCTAAGAATGATTCTTCCGTGAAAAGCAGCCGCTGGTTGACTGTTTATTCATGGCATCGATTGGCACATGAGGAGTGGAACACTACACATACAACACAAAGAAAAGTGCCCATACTGTTAATAAATGTCCGGTGCCTCAAAGCATTACGACTTCAATCAACAGGTATCGTTCTGTCCTCGGAGCAGAAGTTGCTCCCACGAGGACTTGACATGTGAAAAAGAGATATGAGCATGGGACACGAGCCCAGACTCAGGTGTTGACCCGGGATATTTGACCACAGCCATTCTTTGGTCATTAATAGCGGGCAGAGGTTTGGATTGCTTGTAATAAAGGTCTGGTAATGGTTTAATTGTTGTTATATTAGCCTTAAAGCAAATGAACATCATGCCCACGCAGATGCTACACGCTAAGGAGCATTGGTCTTAGCCAGATAAAAGACGCTAATGCCACACGTTTTGTTTTTTAACATTGTATGAAATAAAACAACATCTCAGTCACGGTAGATTAGCGTGAATTTCAGTGTCCTCTGTGACGACTTGGAAAGCCGAATAAGCCAAACCAACTGGTGCTGCTTGTAGTTTCTATTGTCATTTTGTCTCCCTCTTTTGTTCTTACAAATAACCGTCCATCGGCATGGCAACGTGAAACATTAAATATCTTATTCAGCAAAGAGGACAACTGTATCTTCTGACAGGGGTAAACTGCTTGTTAAAATACAATGGTGTTTAGTTCGTGAGGTCCGTCACGTGAAGTGAAAAGTTCATGCTAGAAACTGGGAAGTTTTAAACTCAAGCGGAACAAATCCGATCCGATCCGTCAGCATTTCCTCTTTGTTAGATTGTCTCAAAGGTCAAATAATGATTGAAAGAATGCTTTTTAAAGAGCTGTCCTTAAATTTCCAAACAAAGCCCATTAAGCCTGAAATGAGACCATTTAGAAGTCCCCCATATTACATGAGGAAACGGATGACATCATTTAGGGTTTGTTATCTTGTCATCTTGTGAATTTGTACTTTTGACATCAATTGTTTTTTGACAGAAAGAGGCCATCAGAAGAAAAGACAAGTCTCGGGGAGGTAATGGCATATTTACTGTAGAAGACAGTAAGGTTGTCCTCAAAACCTGAACCTGATGGTGAGTCTGTTGGACGCTGCAGAGGACTGGAAAAATAAAACTAAAGACATTTCCACTTGATGAGACTTGAATTGAGACCAAACAATCAATTTAGATATTTTTAAGTATTTACTCTTAATGTGCTTTACCTGATCTGGGAGTATCATATTGATCCATTGTGAATACTATTAACTGTAAGTGTGACAATATCCGTCAAATGTTTGTAGTGATCAGCAGAGGAATATCTATGTTTAACTTTATAAGCGTTCTGTTTGAGTTTATGGGGACTACATTATTTTTGTCCACACATCTATGACACCCCCCCCCCCTCTGCTATAATAACTCGGTAATGTCCCATTACCTTTTCAATAACCACCACCACCTACGCTTCATTCCAATAAGTTCAGCTGTAACTTTACTCTGTGTTTAGTGGTAGCTAGCGGGCATTAGCTTTGGTGAAACACTGAAATGATGAGCGTGGTCAAAAAATACCTGCAAAACATAATAAGTTCAGCTAAAAGCATCACTGCGCATAGACTCAAAAAGCCACTAGCAGGCCGTAGCTTTTGATTTAGCTGGCGGGCTAACCCTTTAGAATGATAAGATAACTGCAAGCATTTGACACAAAGCAATCTGATGGAATTATTCTAGATATTTAATTTTATAATCATTTTACCGATCAAAGTTAACTATTTATAGCTTAGTAACAAAGGAAAAAAACCTGTAATCCATGTACACTAACTCATTTCAACAATTAGCTTCAGCTGTTTCTGTGTTTGATGGAAAATTAGCAAATGTTAGCGTATTGCAATAAATGTTCAAACATCAGACAGGAAACATATAGCTAGTTTTAAGCTGTCATTTTATGGCATTAAGCTCGAGACCAGCCACTGTGCCAAAGTTCATAATAATATAAAGTCACTTTTTGTTTATTCACTATAAATTAATAAATAACTGAAATGCAATACTAATGCTGCCTAAATGCCCGAGGACAAGGCACATGCTTAATTCACTCTGTGATAAAGCAACTGAAGAAACGTCTTCTTACAGTAATCCACCTCTTGTTGCTGATGAAAGGTTCAAGCACTAGTTCATGACTCGCGTCCAGCCCATTGAGGATGAGTGACAGGCGAGCCGGCCAATCAGAGCACGGACTAAAGCTCTTAATGCCGTCCCGGGCCGGAGCTTCAAGTCGGAGCCACCTGTGGCAGCCAGCGAGTTCACCCCGGAGGAAAAGAGCGCCTGTTCACCTCCGTTATTTCCCCCGTTATACCGGCTAAACGCGGGACTCCGCCACCGTCCGTTCGGCTCGAACTCGGACCGCTTTAAGGCGGAAAACTTGGAAGATGTTTCCCGGCAGTTTTCTACCTGTCGTGTTTCTCCTGTGCGCTGCTGTTAACGGTGAGTGAGGTTCACCTCCAGAATAATAGCAAACTAATAACCGGGTGAGTTATTTATTTAAGATTTGTAAGATTGGATTAGATTATGATCTGGAGAACAGGTTGACCTCTGGATACACGTTTTTATAGGTTTTAACAGCACAGATTTAATATATATATCGCGTGGCCGGTGGTCCATAAGTAAAGGCACAGATGTATTATAAGCGGAATATAGGAATGTTTCCTAAATAAAAGGGATTGTTTTTATTTTGGTTGTTGTTAATTATAATATTACAATACATATATTATATAAGAGTACATGATATAATTCAATATTAAATAAAATTCTTTAAAAACAACGTCATATACACACAGGAAATGAGGATGATCAGCAATTATTTTCTTGACAAAAACGAAAATATATTTATACACAGCAAAATGGACGGACTCAAATTAACACTATTGGAGTTAATTTTAACACTTTTAAAGTGTCCCATGGGGTCCACACGCCACAGCGTCAATGTAACACTTTTTAAAGTTTTGCCATTTTAACACTGTTATAGAGTTAATTTGAACTCTTATATAGTTGAAATTTAACAATACTCAAGCGTTGGTTTCTCAACACCAGTGGGTAGTGTTAGAAATAAATACTCATAGGAGTGATTAATGAACTCTTATAGTGTGATGTGCGTACTATAAAGGAGTTGCCTCATTAACACTATAAAGTGTTATTGCTGCTAAGTCAGTGCCTTCACAGATGTGACAGAAAACAAATTTATTTGGTCTTCTATACAGTATGCACTAAAGTGGTCATCATAGGACATTGTTTGTACATTACAGGATACTACGAAAGCACGCTGTTCATGTATTATAATATCACAGATCTTTTTGAACACAGCGAGATCATCGGTACATCCAGTGCATAAGTACAACACAACCTGGTACTCAGTATCGTGATATCTGACCCACCTTGCAAGTTGCAGATGTTTTTGGATAATGTAGGACCAAATTCAAACCTTCTGCAATCATTTTCATAGTTAAATGCTAATTGATGCTGATGTTGTTTCACTAATGATTTGGTGAGATTCTTAACATTTTTGCCACATATTTCGAAAAAATGGTTTTTAGCTTCAAATCACATGCACCACATATGGATAAGAGGGCCAATTTATGTTATGCATCTAGGATAGTGTACCATCAAGTGGTGCTTGGGAATTAACCTCTTTGCTTTGAACAGAGTATGGTGATCACAGATCAGATGTTTCAAGTAACATATCATTCCATCAGTTATGGTGTAGCAAAACTCTATATTGACAATCAGGATCAAAAGTAGCAGAACGTTCCAGTGACTGTTATTCTTTTTAATGACATCTCCAAACATTAGTGGAGCGTTACGCAGGAGACACCATGACTGGATGGCATTCAAACCTAGATCTTTGCTCTTATCTCATCCATGTTTATACCACTTGGTTTGTTTTTACGCTCTGTGTAACCATAACTAAAGCCCAGTATTCTGTTTGACAATGTGATCAAAGAAATATAGACCTGTTCAACAAGGTACTCCAAATTCAGCTTTAGTTCGTACTGTACCACACCCTCCAGCACACCGTGCATTATGTCAACAGCATAGTTGTCAGTGCAATGGAAATACCATAAGCAGTTGAGCACACATGACGTTTTAACACCATATATTGATCAGGATTTTCATTTAGTGCCTGTTCAGTATGAAGATCTTTGAAACGGAAAGTTAACTCAGGATGATCTTCAGTAAATATAGATGCAATTTCTTGCTTACTGATTAAACAAATCTACAGCAGTGGGTTGCACGGAATGATTCCACAAAGCCCAACAAGCCATTTAAAGCCAAATTATCTCCCGTTACTTGAATAACTGAGCCAAACAATGGTTGTTCAAAACAAGGAAGCTTTAAGCCTTTGGTTTCTAAAAAATTCAGGTAATCAATAAGAGGCTTTAGTATGAAAACCTTATTTTTTTCAGATCTTCAGAATGAAACAGCGCTGCCAGATGTACATTCATTGGTACTGAGTTACACTTGTGTGGAAGATCTTTGAAAGTAAAGTAGACACAACCTAGTTACAATTCTATAGAATTGTAACATATGAGACTTATTCAGTAGAATGATCAAGTTTCTGGAATCATCATCATTTTTTGCAGTATTTACAGAATCCACCAACCTTCATCAATACAAAGGATTAAATAACTAAACTATAGAATAAACAGCATCCCATGTTTAGCCTCTGCTTTAATTGCAGGTCAGTTTGAATCCCTTTTACTGGAACAAGGTAACTTGTTAAAACCTCTGTTAAAGGTTTTTTAGGCAAAATGGCCATTTTCCTACACTTACCCCCCCTAAATAGTCTTGACCTCTGACCCATTGCTCCTCTCGGTGTGACTCAAAACCCTGTGATGGCTAACAGATGCCAGCGAGGATGCATCGGTCAAATCAGCAGCCGGCTCCCTGAAGGGCAGCGCACTCCAAACACACAAGTTCTACTGCGTGTGTGTGTGTGGATACGCGGACCTCCTCGACAGCGCGGCGAAGCTGCCCTGAGGAATTTTGATGAGCTCTCCACTGTACAGACTCCCCGGGCTTAGTTGCACCTAAATCCATTGGTCACCCTTTTTATTATTCATTTGGGTCGTTATGAAGTGCATCTCTGTGTTTCATGGTTCCATGTATGAAGACTGAAGACTCAGACTCAGTCGCTGTCATGTGCCGGAGCCTGCAGGGCGTTTTTGTGTGGTTCTCTCCCTATCATGAGGGAGACTTGGGGGGGGGGGGGGGGGGAGGGGTGATGGCCGCTCCAGTGTTGGGCAGCTTGACTGAGTGCGTCTGAAGTAGCAGTAAAGAGGTCCAGATGAAAAGACCTCCTCCTCTGAGTCTGGCGCCACATTTTCTTGTGACCTCTGTAGGGAATCTTCCAGAGAGCGGAGAGCATGTTTAATGTCTCCCTCTGCTCTCCATGTTACTGTTTCCTCTCACAGCCGCGTGTGTCATCGTTAGGTCATTCTTAGAGCCGGCAAAGTCTGCTCTGGAGTCAGAGGGTGGTTGTAGGAATGTTATAAGGACACATCGCTCACGTAGAGCTGCATTATTGGCCTGTGACAGAAGGGTGTGGCATTGTCTTCAGTTTGCTTACTGTGTATGATTAACAATAAGTGCCATAAATATCAGGGGAAAACTAATTGTCACATTTGAAGAGACTGGAACCAAAAGGATATTTGCCATTTATTCTTGAAAAATTAAACAATTATTTGAATATCAAAAAAGGTGATTGACGAAGAAAGACTGTAGCCGTCCCCTCTCAAGCATTTTGAGCCCCTTCCCTCCGGCAGGAGGCTGCGGTCCATCAGGACCAAGACCTCTGGCCACAGAAGCAGTTGGTCTCATGAATCCAAGTGCCCCAGTGACCCGAATGGAGGAACATGTTGTAACAAACTTATGTTATCTGTTCATATGGTTTTTATTTTGCTCATATATTTATATATTATATTACTTTATCTTTTTTCATCCATCTTCCATCCATTTATCATCCATCTTCAAACCACTGGGGGGGCTGGAGTAAATCCCAGCCAAACCACATACAACCACATACCACCACATACGGCAATGGGAGGAAGCCAGAGTACCCAGAGGGAACCCACGCAGACACGGGAAGAACATGCAGACTCCTCACACAAAGGCCCCTGGGCGGAGTCAAACCCAGGACCTTCTTTCTGTGAGGCAACAGTGCCAACCGCCACGCCACCTTGCCGCCCCTTTATTGTATTTTATCATATTTTATTATTATACTGCACCAACACATATATGGCAATGGCTACTGATTCTGATTCTGACTTGATAGCCTTGCGTACTGAACCAACTCGTGTATTTCATTTTCAGTTAACACCATTGTTGTTTTCGTATCACACAGTTCCTTATTCTAGTATTTAGTACCTTCCTCATTTGACACACTCTCACCTGCCACCACGTATTGTCTTTACTTCCCATTGCGCACGTGCCGTTTCTTTCCTTTCCTTTCTCCCTCTGTCTCCTTGCGTCGCCGCTGCATCCTGCTGAATTAGACCTTCCCCGGGCCAGTAAATCTCGCTCTGTAATTGAAAAGCATGTGCTGGCGCAGCTTTAATTGGATATGATATGTGCAGAGGCCCTACGAGTGAGCCGGGCTCCAGGGAGCCATCTGTTACTTCCGAGTTATCGTGTAAGTGCTCTGTTTGTTTCCGATAGAGAGAGCTCTTTTCAACCGTGTCCTGTTGAAGATGGAGATAAACTGGAGACGGTGTGATGAAAGTTGAACATGAAATGCTGAGGTTTTCTTTGTCTGTGTGTGTGTTGGGCTGCACCCAGCCAAGATGAAGTTTGTTCCGATGGGAAAGGCAGAAAAGTCTTAGCAGGACAAAGAGAATGAGGCTTCAATTTGCTCATTTGTCCTTAATTCCTCTACAACATCCCCCAATGCATTTTTAGATGAGGCAATCTCACCCAAATGCGTGATGATCTCATAATGGAGTTTCACCTAACCAGTTTAATCATTTCTAAAAAAATCATGATGTCTAACATGGAACTGCATTAAAACACAGAATTTGGTAGACTCACTAAGATAATAGATTTCAAGACCAACAGCTGGCTTTGATTATTGGTTTTGAGACCGAGGCCTCTCCCTATTTTGTATCCTTTTCTACCCCCCAGACTTAGTTACTTGTATTTGAGTATGTCCATTAACTGCTACTTCTACAGCCGCTTTGGTCCGTAGGAGGTCAGAAAATGGACTTTCCACACCGTTAACATTTACTCTGGTCAGACACACAACACCCAGCAGAATAATACACAAAGAAGCTTCCTCTCAGGCTTGTGAGGTCGCTCCTGGTGACCCGGCTGTGTCGCTTTGATGTGGCAGCCCTCAGGACTGGTTTCCCCCCCACAAAAAAAACTGACCTGTGTCTATCTGTTTGCGTCCCATGAGGTTTTTGCAACGCACGGATGGGCACCTTTAAACACCAGGAGCTCATAAAGCAGTATGTAAGAAATGTTGACTCTCATTAGCCGGCAAAGGTGCGACATGCAATAAGCTATGAGCCTAGTCCTGTGAGCCAGCCGCATCTTTGTCTTTAACCAGTGTGTTTCAGATGTCCTACTGGAGGGTTTCCGAGACAGAGGCAACACAAACACACACACACACACACACACATAGGTCAGCTTTCCACACGTCTCGGCCTCCTAATGAGGTGCAGCCTCAGGCTCCTGTGTCACTTCATCTCCTTCTCTGTGACCATTCTTTAATCAGGGCCGTCCTTGTAGTGCTGCTGGATGGGATAAAGAACTATTTCAGGGATTTCAGTTTCTCCTAATTCACAACAATTAACTGGAAATATTTGCAACCCCCGAGAACCAAGGGACCGTTTGTCCCGGCTCTCTGGACTAGTCAGTGAATCCTCGTGGCGTGTAATCGATACAGATTATTTATCCCAGGAGAGCGGCGGTGTGGACAGGAGGTTGAGGACGTGCGTTGGGGGAAAGCTGGATCTGACAGTCAGTTTGGGAGCAGGTACTTTACAGGACCGCCATTGTCTTGCATGAATAGAAGCACCCTGAAGTGCAGCGCTGCACTGAAACGCGAGCGAGCATAACCGGCATCTCCTGTCGTTACCGTTCTGTGATTTGAAGTGCGGCGGAGCTTTGACAGCTTGGAAGCGGACGTCTCCTTGGCAACGGATGCGCTTAGCAACGGATGCGCTCTCCCACAGTGCGCTCGTTTGATTTTAGTGTCGGAAAGTGTGGCTGCTGGTTTGTCGAACCAAAATGGTTGACCAAAGGGCTCAGTGCGTAGAGCTGGATCTTCTTATCCACATCCTGCTGAATATGTGCCCGCAGGCCGACCTTAGACCCACTTGTCTTGGCCCAGTCATCTCTTTTGTGTCTGCAGGGGATTATCCGGCTGTAGGTTAAATCCTTAGAGACGCGGCTTTCTGTAAGACGTGCAGCACAGAGTGTGTCCTTAATTGTAATCTCACTAACTCACTGTCTGTTTACATTGTTTCATATTGATGTCATTAACGTTGTTTAAGGAATGCTGTGGTCTTGTAAACACTCGTTGGTTCAGACTTTGGCATCATACACTGTCTGTAAACCTGTCACAGGTGTTTCTATGTATTTTATTTATGGCTGGCATGTTTATGTAAATGGTTATAGAAAAGCAGCCGTGAAAGAAGAACCACCGTGTTTGTTCGTATCGTTTGTTCGTTTTTTCCTTCACTTCCCCATGTCTATAAATAGGCAGGGCTTTTATGACACCATAACATTTTCTTGGCATCTCTTTATCTGGATATTTTATGACTTCTAGGTAGATATACTTACTGAAATATCTCGCCGTGTCATATCATTTTGCGGTCTCAGCTTCCGCCTCCCTCTGTTAGCAACACCAGAGAACAACCAGACGATTATAAGTATATGCGGAGGCTTCAGGGGAAAAACAAGCCTGTGAATGCGGTTATGCAGATTTTGTGTAGATAGTCTCATAACAATTTGCCTATGGGGAAATAATCAAAATTTTCCAAATGTCATCACAGCAAGATAAACCCTCATATATACTGTATGTGGCGGCAATGACACTGTGAAACCGAAACCATCTCTGTGCTCTACTTTTAGTGGTATCAGTTGCAAGTAGAAGGTGATAAGAATGAAAGTAGTTACCGTTGGTACCTTTAAGGCGGCATGTTTTGATGTCACATTCATAAAATCTGGTGTTTATTTAGGGTTTGCCACATGAACGACCTATATATGGTCACCAAATCAGTGTTGTCATCTTTTGACCATCTGCTGGAGAGAGATATTCTGTTTGACATTAATATATGTGCCCAAATTCTGGCCAATCCATCCGGACGTCTTGGTATGTTAGCAGGCTAATTTGCTGCGCCCTTTCAAACTCTGACCCAATTTAATAATTAGGAAGTCGTTATTGTTCGATACCCAATGCTCACCAGAGAACTGGTCAAATGTGAACTTTCCATTCTGTGGAGATGTTAATAGGAATGTGGTTACTCTCCCACACACTCAGCTGATAAGGCTGTTCGACGGACTCCACACCGCCAGAGTGAATGGTTCTTTTACTTCTCAACAGCTGCTCCAGGGTTGATTGTGTTGATCAGTGGCGTGTTAAATGCTGCATTTGTAAACTGATGGGCTTCCACTGCCTTTCATTCGGCTGGCAGATCTACCTGCTGGATTTGACACTGGCGTGGAAGTCACAAACACCTGACTGATCCCGTAGATGGAGTATAAACTGAAACTGTCTGACCAGTTTCTTAAGAATCTGATGGACGGCTAAAATGCGAAGATATTTTTAGAAAGATAGACAAAATGTTGGCATTTGAGATGTGTAGATTCGTAGAATGTAAGGCGTGCAACAATAAGGTGAAATGGTTAACCTTCAACTGAGTCATTCAAGGAAACAGTCGTTGATACTTTACCAAAATGTAACACAGGGCTCATCGAGAAAGGGTAGACTGGATCTGATTTAAGAGATTTTTCCTTAATCTTCAATCTTTCTGGTTCTCCCGTAAGATTAGTCCGTTGGCCGTAAATATTCATCCAAACAAAGCAGTCACAAGTTGACGTGTTTTATAAAGCACTTTATGCTTCTTCACATGTAGAGACAAACCTCTTAACTATGCCACTCCTTGATTTTCAAAACTGTCACCTGAGACCTTTTCCAACCTGTCATCACATCCTCATCTATCAGTGTCAATAATACATTTTTTTCGAAGGTGGGTCTGTGTCGGTGTGTGTCCTTTAAGCTCAACGTATCCAATAAAGTATGTTGTTTCAGGGTGTGTGAAGCTTGTGGTTATTTATCTCTGAATTAGTCTTGGTTTCCCAGCAATAAAGACATTAGCTCATGCAGTTCCTTGTACACAGAAAATAATCAAATCCCGTCCAGCGTCAGATTTTCTTGTACTTTTAAGATAATTTAGTGGACAAAACCGTGTGTGTTCGGTGATACGTTCCCTCTCTGGCTTAATGATCAAAATCAATCAATACATACAGATGAGGACCTGAGGTAAACGGGCCAAACCCCTGTAAATGACCTCCTACTGTTTGTAACACTCCACAAGCTGCCCATTGACTCGTACTGCACCCCCATGACCACAAAGTAAAGCATGAGAGCTATGGGACGCCGTTTGTAAAATGTCGCACGTTCTAAAATCCTGCGCAGTTTTGCTACATTTAGCATTATCATATGATCAAAAAAGCACAACAATATTCATATGTCACTTTTTCAAACATTTAGAGAGAAATTCATGTAAATTCATGCACTAGGGGGACGTCCGGATTTTCAATGCCCTGTCCGGCGTCCGGCGCAGCATCTAGTCCCCCCCCCGTCAAGCGTAACGTAACGTAACGTAATCTGACTTGATTTACGTTTATCTTTTGGACATGAATGCAACTTTAAATGAATGCTAAATTTGCTGCACCCATTGATTATTTTTTGTGGTATTGGTTTGACTTTAGGAGTGGCAACTGCAAATCTTACTACGCAGGATTACACGAGCGATGGAGGAACGACTAATGAGACATCCACCACTCCTGCAACATCACACATATCTGTGACTGCGAGCTCGCCTACAAGCAGCAACCGCTCAACCAGCAGTTTTCCAACTTTACCACCATCTTCCACATTAGCTACAACAACTATAAACACCACCACAGGAGGATCTACAACTATAAAACCATCCACCACCCACGCAGACCAGTTCAGGACCACCACAGCGTCGGTCACTGAGAGCAGCGACGTTACCACTAGCATCCCGGACGTCTCTCCATCCGCTCCGACCAGTGGGAAGACAACGTCCACTACGATCCGAGAGACGAGCCAAACCACCGACACCAGTGAGACGGCTAATGCAACCACCACACCTGCTAAAGATAGCACAGTGTCTGCAGGGGCAACCATCACGCACAACAGCAGCGACACAACCACTAGTACATTGACAACACACAAAAGCAGCGACACAACGGCAATTACACCAACCACAAACAACAATAACGACACAACGGCAATTACACCAACCACAAACAACAATAACGACACAACAGCAATTACACCAACCACAAACCACGGTACTAACACAACGGCAATTACACCAACCACAAACAACGGTAGCGACACAACAGCATTTACACCAACCACAAACAACATTACCGACACAACAGCAATTACACCAACCACAAGCAACGGTAGCGACACAACAGCAATTACACCAACCACAAACAACGGTAGCGATACAACAGCAATTACACCAACTACAAACAACAATAACGACACAACAGCAATTACACCAACCACAAACAACGGTAGCGACACAACAGCAATTACACTAACCACAAACACCAATAACGACACAACAGCAATTACACCAACCACAAACAACAGTAGCGACACAACAGCAATTACACCGACTACAAACAACAGTAGCGACACAACAGCAATTACACCAACTGTAAACAACAGTAGCGACACAACAACAATCACACCAACCACAACCAATGGTATCAACACAACGGCAATTACACCAACCACAAACAGTAGTGACACAACGGCAATTACACAAACCACACACAACAGCAGCTACACAACCAACACTGTGCTAACAACCACAAACAGTAGCGACAGCAACTGCAAGTACACAAACCACACACAACAACAGACTTCACTACCAAGACTGTGCTAACAACGCTAACCAGCAACTGCACTAACAGAACGACTACATTCACTACATAATTCTCATACTGCTTTAACAACTACTGCTTCTCTAACAAACGCTACTAACACCTCTTCTGAGACTCCTTTGTCGACTACTCCATCCGCAAACACAACCCTCTCCGCTGGACCTCCACCCTCTTCACCTACCTCCATTTCCACCTCCAGCTCTCTCCCTACCTCCCCAGGCAGTAGCACTGCATCCCCTCCCTCAACAACAACCTCAGGAGGTAGGACTAAGCATCATGACTGTCCATGTTTGTTCTTACACCACTAATGTACTGTAACATCCAGGTGAGTAGGAATTCAGAGACATTAGTTACACCGATATATTATTTTAAGTTTTCAAGTCTCCGAATGCAGATTTTGGAGTCACACAATTGTTGAACATTTTACTTTATACAAGTTTGTTCATAGGAAGTCTAGAGTCAAGTACTGAGGCTAGACTGAAGAACATGCTTTAAGCTCAATGCTTCAACCGGCTGAAATAATCATAATGACAAAGCTATCATTGTGACGCAAAGAATTTATAATGTCTCTTTTTAAACATCCATGGTCTGATTTTCTTATTCTTTTCATGTTATAGTGACCGGCAACACAACTTTGACTCATTCAACGGAACCATCTAGTGGCAATACAACAGCCTCATCTACCACCACTCCAGCCACCTCCACCACCCATAGTACTGGCTCCACCATCAGTGGCACCACCAACAACTCCACCATCGGTAGTGCTACCACCATGACTAGCACCACCCAGAGACCAACAGATGTCACCACCAACAACGCCACCATCGGTACTGGTACTACCATGACTAGCACCACCCAGAGACCAACAGATGTCACCACCAACAACGCCACCATCGGTAGTGGTACCACCATGACTAGCACCACCCAGAGGCCAACAGACATTGTCACCACCAACAACTCCACCACCACTCCAACCTCCACTATCAGTACTGGTACAACCACCAATAGCACCACCTCCTCCACTGCTCCAATGACCACGATCATCCCTAGCACAACCCAGCAACCAATAGACACCACCACCAATAAACCAACCACAGCAGCTCCACCCATCCCTCCAGTCTTAGGTTAGTACTTTCCTCCAAAGGTACCTGTTACAGTTGCATTATTCCATTAATCAACAGGTTTAGTTAAAGGTTGCATACACAAGGACCCAAACAGCTAGAGATAATTAATTTCCGCCGTTGATTTATTTTTTATGTGCTAAAATGGTTAAAAAATGGAAAAAAAGAGGACATCTGTTTTATCGCAATTAAGTGACCATCGTCAATATTTATATGGTAACAAAAAGAAAAGCAGGCAGCTGTTTTCAACATAAAAGCTTTGGTAAACTAGTGAAGGATGTATACATAAGCAGATGTTTGCTGGCAAATATATCCAATCAACTGAATGTGATGATAATTCAACATTTTGTTCCCAAATTGTTTCAGCTGCCTCAAAAAGAAAAAAAGGGCCGTTATTGTATGTTTCACTAATTCGATCGATGGCCAATTGTTCAAAGCATAATTTTTCTTCTTTCTCTTATTAGTGTGTCCTGCCATCCCGTGCCCACCTGAAAGTGTCTGTCTTAATGGCACCTGCCAGTGTCTCTCAGGTAGCTTCTTCGTGAATGGCCGTTGTGCACCGGGTAAGAACTTAAAACAACATTTCAAGTCTGGTCAGATGAGAGATTTTTGTAACAGAAATCATAACAGGGTGAAAGCGGAACACTTTTAGCTTAATCCTTTCCTTGCACTCCTCTTCATTTAGCCCAAGTGTTCCCAGGCCGGCTTCATCTCACCTCCTTGATATTTAATAATAACATGACTGACAGGTCCTCAGCAATATTCCGTAACACGTCAGCTCAGATCTCAAAATCGGTAGGTTGTGGGCATTTGGATTAGTGTAACAAACGCTCCCTCCCGTCCTTAAACCACATGCTTATCCCGTTTCACAGCTCAGAGCTGTCCTGAAAGACCAGCCGGGGTATAAACAATCTGATGTTGTGCGACTTGAGTGAGTATCTTGCATTTCTCCTAATGCAGAAAAATATTGTGGCACAAGTGAAAATTGTTTTGTAACCTTTTTTGTTGGTTCTCATCACCCCCCAGACCAGGAAGTGTACAAGCAACTGTAAATAACATATTTGAAGACACCACCATCACTCAAGAGTCCATCACTCAGGCCATAAAGGATGCTATTGCCAACCCGTCGAATGAATTGTTAAGCAATGCTGAATATACAAGTAATGCTACAATGCTGATTATGAACACACAGGCTACATTATTTCACAGGAAAGGTTTATTTCATTTTCACCTGTTTTACATTTTCTCTGTCTTAGACACCAACCTTTGTGAGCAGGAGCCATTACCCTGTGATGTCTCGTCTACAATGTGCACAAATTCAAATGGCAATGCTGTTTGTTCCTGTAAACAGGGCTACATCTCCATCCTGTACTCCAACACCAGCTGCAGAGGTACACTACCGGTTCATATTTTTGTCCCAAAACTAGTACTACATTTAAATAAGCACACTAAAACCTGCTCCGGTATTGTCTTCTATATTAAAGAAATGTGAAGTCTTTACAATATTCTGCTAAACTGGCACTATGAAATTAGTAAAGCTTCATACCTGTATACGCTGTAAGAGAAGTTTCCCCAGCTTATCTACAGTAAAGAGAACTGGTGCAGAACCTTCCTATCCTCAGTGAAATACTTGTGTGTGAGAACGAGGGGGAGAAACAACAGGGAGTAAGACTCACTGACATGGTCAAGGGCTATAGCCTTTTCTTTAATGCCAACCCCTGACCTACGCTTCATTTATCTCTTTAATTTATTTCTTATAAACAGGGGTTGTTTCCCTGGAAACACGTGGAAGAATTACAGCTTTCTCTCTCTCTGTGGAGTGTTGTCACCACGGAGATAAGCTATAGGAAGAGGCAAATAAAGCAAATGCTGCACGCAGTTCCTTCCCAGGAAACACATGCACCATTAGAAGCTTGTTTTTAATGGAATTAGAGGCTCACATGGTGCTCATACTTTCATTGCTTGTGAAACCAGGAGTAGTGTACGTCTCCATCTACCGTGACGTTAATTGATTGTGTTTTCATTGTAGCATGTCCAAGTGGGGAGGGGGCAGTGGGAAACATTTGCCAACCGTAAGTACAACACAGATTTCCTTTCCTTTTGTGAAATTGGATGGTTCTGTGTTTCTGTGTATGTGGTACACGCTGATGTGAAGTTGGCTCCCTCATGTGGACTCAATCTGTTTTGTATTTCAGATGTGCATTTGGATATTCAGGCTTCAACTGCAACGACTGTGAGTGACAGCAGTGTTGTCAAAGGCAACAATGATGCAGCAGTGACAGTTATTCACTGATCCACTCAAATACAAATGTGTTTACAGCGGCGCTGTTGGCAGTGGTGGTCGTCTCCTGTGTGCTGGGAGGAGTTCTCCTCATAGTCCTGGCTTTGCTGATATACGGCTCCTGGTGAGGATATTAAAAAAGCCTTGGCTCAGACTTGGACCACATTTGTACTAAAGATATCTTAGGCCTAACACTACACACACTGTACTTGTTTTTTTTTCTTCCCCTGGATGAATATAACTTAAGCAGGAAAGATATGATGGATTAGAAAGAGTGATCATGTTCTTCATGTAATTAAACCCAGTGCAAAAATGTAGTTAATAACTGAATAGTTTTTCCGCCAACATCAGAGCTGATGTAGCAAGTTGAATAAGACTTTAGATACAGATAATATATTGACAAAGCGTGCGCACTTCACATCCCCTGTTTTTACAGCAATGCGGGATGCAACAAGCCAGACTATAGCAGCAGTCCGTACTCATCAGGTGACTTAAACCAGGCCTGGCCCACCGGCATCACCCGCATCCCCCGGGCCTCCGCTAACTTGGATGCAGCTCCTCACATTGAGATGACAGAAGGGGGCACCGCTCGAGTACTAGTGGACAAAGATCAAAGCAATGGAATGGTGAGTTATCACACAGCCTCCTGTGGACTTGATCGTCTGAATTACTCACCGCCAATACTCACAGTCTGGCATAGGATCGATGGTCCGCTAAATCCGCCTTTAGTTTCTTCAATGTTGCCCCTCCGTCTTGCATCCTGATAGCATTGCCTACTAACCTACTAACCCAACCGTTGCGCATGGATTTGATCAATTTGCAGGTGAAAAATATGCCTCAGCGTAAATTAAAATCTGTTTTTTTAGACATATATACCCTTCAAAGACTGCATTTCACTCTGCAGTTTGGTTTGACTGAAATAGCTTTTGGATGACACATCTTGCTTAGTTTTATTCTGAAACACCTAGAAGGATTTTGAACCGCAATTCAACAAATCCATGCGCGCTGGGACAAACAAGATAGTTAACTGGACTCTTCGTTGATAGGTCTTTAACCTTATCCATGCCAGTATGTTCAATCAAATCATTCACAATGTGTATGTATATATATATATATATATATATATATATATATATATATTAGTGCTAGCACGTAGCGTCCTTCAATGCTCCCTGCTTGGCCTGACTCCCAGTGTGTTGCTTTAGGGGTTTCAGCTGAAAATGAAAGGATGGAAAAAGGTAAGGCACGGCTTTGCTTTTAGTTTTACGATTTGCCTCGACGCCGCCTGATGATAATTTAAAAAAGTTATGGGGAATAACGTGGTGAGATTTCCAGGTGATGGGGAGCTTCATGAATAATTTAGATTGTTGCGGGAAGCCGCTTTCATCTACATGTAAATGTAGCGAGTGACCGGTCAAAAAGGTAAGCTGACACTAGTTTGGGTGTAGTTCTTTTCTCAGGATTTGGTTTGGTGACTTGGTTGCTTGCCTGCTTTTTGTAGGGAAGGTTGAAGTCTTCACATTTACAAAGATACTAACGTGGTGACTGTTTCCAATGACATTTCAGACGGGATCGTATGATCTCAACCCAGAGGGAATGAAGACCTTCAAAGGTAAAACTCCATCCCGTTACTCCTATCTGGTTGAAGGCCACGAGAACCCCTACTTCTTAGCCGGAGACCAAAAGAAAAACTGATGAATTCCATGTTGAAAAGAGGAAAATGGGATGAAAAAGAACCTACTGATTAAAAAAGAAACTTTGTCTTCAGGCACACTTGCTAAGCATTCATGAACTAATGAAAAATCACAATGGACACGTCTGAACTGGGAAACAGCCACCAAAGAGATTTGTTCCTACGAGCAGGAACATGTGACGTCTGGTACATCATGTGAATTCTTTGGAAAGAACTAAATTATAATGATCATAACCAGTAGATGTCACTGTTGCTCGGTATAATTATCACACTGTTTAGCACACACTAAAGTACACGCTACATTTTCCGTTTTTAGTAAATCATTCTGTTGTGTTTTAAATGAAGCTTCTCATATTGCAATTTGCACTTAATCGTATGTCAAGTTCACCACCACTTTTACTCTTGAACCAAAGGTAAATTGAATGACGGCTTCCAGAAGTAATGGATATTTTTCTTAAGGTTACGATTATTTTTGGGAGGAATAAATCTTGTACGACTAAAGGGGCTGGATCCCTGGTATGGAATATTTTTAAAGGGATTCATATTGTAGCCATCTAAAGCTGAGTGTTTTGTATTTGTTAAAGCTCCTCTTGTAAAATGTGCCTGTTTTAATCGTCCGACAAACAGGAAATGTGCACAGCTCGTGATTGTCTCCTGGATGTGCCAATTAACACTACTTAATACATTCTCTTACAAAACAATACACTACATATATATCCTTGTGTGTCTGAGAAAGTACACTTTTTCATAAGTGGTTAAAAGTTTTATGAAGAACAGAAGGTGTGTGTGTGTGTGTGTGTGCATGTGTGTGCGCGTGTGTGTGCTTGTGTTTGCAATGAAAATAAATTAATTTAAATCAAACACTCTTGTTTCTCATCATTGATGGCTGTAGTCCACATATGTCAAACTCGCTTTTTGCACGGCCCCCTCTGTACCCCCTCCCTCCCCCCCCTGTAACTCCTGCCTCTTCCACAGACTCTTTGTGTCACTATTCATCATCTGTGTAGAGGAGGACTTTCTACCTCGCCATCGTGTTGTGTTTGAGGTCCTGAACCTGAAGATACCCTTTGGAAGTACACTTTTAAAAGTGACTCATTCATTGCATTTTTTGTACTTTTTGTACTGTAAAATGTTTTATTGGAAACAAAATCAAAGTTCCATATAACATAACTTGTTTTTCTTCTGGTAAAGAAAAACCCTTCTTCAGATATTTACTTACTTGGAGTCATTTTATGGTCATTTAAGACTTAAAAAAAAAAAAAAAAAAATATATATATATATATATAGAGAGAGAGAGAGAGAGATTCGAAGGGAAGAATTTAATGTGTGTTTAATCTGTCCTACTAAAGGTGTACTCCTCTCATCCAAAGGTGGCGGTAAAACGGAAGGACATTAAAGACAGAGAATAAAACTTTAAACTTGGAAACTTGGATGCAATGAGTTCTGGATTTTTAAAAAATGTCCCATTTCCCAAAACCCCATCAGATGTAACCACCATCCACAGAAGCCTGTGGGGAGGGAAGCACAAAAGAAGCAAGAACTGCTGTGATTAATACTAATAATGATGATGGTAGCAGCAGCAGTCGTCAGCAGGGCCATGGCAGGAGGCAGGAACAAGGTCCAGATGCAACCATGATCCATGGAAACCTGCGAGGCGAGAACGCACAAAGAACTCTGTATCAGGCACCTGGATCAACCGCTCGCACTCTTGAAGACCCCCAGATTTGAGAGAAATATCTCTCACTCTTAATTCTAGTGAAACTCAGTGGGATACAGTCAAGTATTCTGTCCTCTAAACACAGCGTATAAAATTAACATGGTTGTGAAAAAGAAAGCATAAACCTGATTCCCTACTTTCTCTGTAATGGACTCCTCTCTCTGGCGGCCGAGGCTGTTCTCATCGGCGTAGGAAAGCATTGTGTTTTTGTTCCCGTTACCAACCTGCCTCTGACTCCCGGCTCCGTCTGCTGCAGCGCGTCCCATCAGCCCACAGGCTCAGCTCGACCGATCGATGGACCACTTAGTGGCCGTGAGCTACACATCGCAGTCATTTGACCTGTTGGAGCGGTGGGAATGGGCACGCAATCCAATAAGCATCGAGCCAATGAGATAAGCGAGCCGGACTGCCAACTTGAGGAACTTCCCTCTCCCTGAGAGGCGGTTCTCAGGAGACGGGAGGATACCGAAGCAGATCTGCAGAGGCAGATCAGGCCCGTTTCAACCCGTCTTGTCGTACTTATAGTGAGATGAAGATGGCGGCTCCTCGTTGATTCTGCCTCCCTTTTTAATAAGGAAACGGTCCAACAAAGACATCTGAAATAGTGAAGGAGGAGATACGGACACGTACTTATATCTGTGTGTCATAATTAAAACGTATTGTATGCTGCCGTATTTTGAAGATTAAATTCAAAAATCACCGTTATATTTGGACAGCATACACCTTAAAAAAACATGAGTTAGTTATTTTAGAAAAAGATCTTTACAAGTAAACCAGAGATTGGTCAATTTATGAATTATTTGATGAACAGAAAATTAATCGCTATCTTTTTTGATAACCATTTGTTATTGTTATACCAAAACTTTAAATCATTTGCTGGTGTGTATTTTTGGCTTTCTTTGTTCATTATGAATTCAGTACCTTCGGCTCTGGTAATAAAGGATAGACATTCCCCCCCCATTTTTTTTAATATTGTTTTATTAATATTGAGTGTTATTGCTGTTTAAATCATTTATTTATTGTTTTTCGACTGTCTTTGCCTTTTTTTAGGACTCACAATCCCAATTTATATGAAGTAAGAAGAAAAAAACAACAGTTCCAGATGCATGGACTCAAAAGTTGTTTTGAAAACCTCGGATTTGTTATCTGCGCCACATGATCTTAGACGGTGGAGAGGAGAGAAGCCTTGGAGGAGTCTCCAAGTGCAAGCAGATAATGCTGTGAAGCCAAGTCATATCGATGACTTATGGAGGAACGGGAACGAGAAGTCAAGGCGCCAGACAGACATTAGTCTGAGGACATTAAGCCTCTCTATAAGAGCAGCGATAATCTGATGAAAGCACAGTAAGTATGATTGTAGTTAATGTCATACAAAGTGGTGATGCATTCTTTAATCTATGTTAATCCTCCATCACTCGCAAGTTGAGTGTGTTAACAAAATGGCAGAAACACGTTGAACTCGAGTAAACTCAGCAGATGCTGATCTTTCTTTGCTTTTATTCAGTAAAGACACGTTGTGTTTATTGAAATAGACACAGTTCAACTTCCTTACCTGCTGATTTTGGCTTTGAGTTTGGCTGCTGAAACACAAATGAACTCATCTTATATAATGAATGTGATATCACTTTTGAGGTATGAAATCTATCCAATAATCCTATGAACAATAATAGCATTATTTGCGTTTGAGTTTTTGCCTGCCAATATGTTTGTGCACATTTTACCCATAGCTCTCTCTATAAAAGGCTTCATGCTTTCTGCATCTGCCTTGTAGGCCTATGGAATTTATTCTGTACAGAAGCAATTGCAGACGGATGATTGCGGTTCCCAAGTATCTCAATTACAATATTTTTGGTTCTGTTTTACAAAGCGTATGTCTAGACTCAAGAAAAAAATATAGATTTTGCACAAAATAATTTCTGTTGTGTTGTGAAGAATGAGAGAAAAAATGCCAAAGGGGTGAAAGTGAAGCTAATGAGGCTTATTTCACTGCAGGCCATGTCTGTCTTCTACTGTTCTATTAATTGTAAGTAAATACGTAGCTTCATCTCTCTGTGAAGACAACACAGCTGCAGAACAATGTCCCCCAGAATCTCAGGCATGTGTCCTATTATCTGATTTCAGCTCCGTCCCAACTGGAGCTCATACAGACCTGGTTTATTTGTGGGGTCAGCGGGCAGCTTGGACCTTCTACTCCGCCCCTCTACATGACCATCAGGTCGGACGCTCCCCAGAGGAGGGGGGAGGGGGGTGGGGGGGGTTAGCAGATGCCTCTGAATCAATTTGGCCAAAGACCCATAACGACCTCTGCTGCGATTCGTAGGGATATTAGGAAGCGGGCTAAAAAGATCGTAGCCGACGCCTCTCACCCCGGTGAAAAACTGTTTGTGCCCCGTCTTCCAACTGGCGGGAGGCTGAGGTCCATCAGGACCAGGACCTCCCGCCACAGAAACAGTTTCTTCCCGTCGGCACTCTGACTCATCAACAGAGCTGACTGACTGACTCATCGCACCCATCACTCCCGTCACACTGCACATACACCTGTTACTTGTCACTTTCACATACACTCACAACACAAGTTGCGTAGAGAATGGTTATCGCTTGAGCACTTTATTTTTAACTTTTGTTTCTTTATTTTTAAACTAACTCATAGGCGTATATTATATTTCATTCCTCTTGCGCTATGTTGTCTTATCTGTCTCGTTGTCCCTTGTCTTACTGTCTGCTGTTATGCACCAACCGCCAGGTCAAATTCCTTGTATGTCCGACATGTTTTGGTAATGAATGTTTCCTGGTTCCTGTATGTGGGAGTAGGTGTTCCTTTTATACCTCGATTTGAATCCGCCCTGCGCACCGTTGTTAAAACAAAACATGTGGCTCATATTGGAAATCACACAAAATGAAACGCAATCTGATGCGCCTGCATGTCTGCAAGTCACGTTAATGTACGCAGTTCACTTCACAACAATAGGCTGGAAACCACCCACCATTTCCATATCCATAGTGTGTGTGTGTGTGTGTGTGTGTGTGTGTGCATCATTAAGATGCTGTGCGTCTGGCTGCGTGAGCCACATGCTGCCAGACAAAGAGCCACAAGCGTAGCTTCAGTCCTGCCAGGCTCAGGGAGGAGGGGGGAAGGGAACGCTCTATGAGAGACAACCCATCGGATCCAGTTAGCGACCACAACATGTGGAAGTGGAATCCGGCCAAAAGGAGAGGCTGCAGCTTTCCCTCTACACTCTTTATCATCTTTTAAAGTGGATTGTTTGCCTCTGTTACATTTAAGACCACGTGCACGCATTGAAATGCACATCCAGAGATGCTACTCGGACAATCGAGTAACTGTTTCCGGATAAACTTCTTGACCTGAGGGAGTTTTGCAACTAATTGCGAGACGGGGCAAGAGGCCGGAGTGAGAGAACGCATTTCACATGGCGTTCTTGTCCAAAAAAGAAAGATGCGGTGAGCGAGACCACAGACTTTTACCAAGAGTCCCAACTAAAAATACATTTGCGGATGATTGGAAGTGCTTTATACTGCTGTAAGTCATGTTCACCCTGTAGGTTACAAAAGGCTGCATACATCAATCGAATATATATCTTTTATTTGAATTTTTTAAATGTATGATAGTTGATAAATTAGAAATCTAAGACTATTTGCAGATATTTGTAGTAAGAGTCTAACTATCATCTAATCTAACAATCTATCATACATTTCCCTGGTGTTTTTCTTTAACATAGTGTTAAAAAAATAGGCTCAAATTATTTCAAGGAACATAAGAGTGGGGGTGCACATATTTTGGCGTCCATGGCTGAAAGGCAAACCTCTCCTCTAGGTTTCCAAAACGCCGCTGCACAATCTGGTGCTAAAGCATCTCCGCTCTTCTAAAGCATCCTAAATCCACGGATGTGGCCAGAGAGAGCGCCGGCGATGCACATGGGGGAGGGTGGTCAGGGGAGGGGCCGAGAGAGGGAGGAAGAGAGTGAACGAGGCGGACACTCAGCGACAGCAGGTCTGTGAGAGCAGCACAACAGAGGAGGAGGAGGAGGAGGAGGAAGAGGGAAGGAGGAGGAGGAATCAGAGCGAGAGAAACAGTGTAGCTGCAGTCGGGAGAGACACAAACACTGAGAGAGAGAGAGGAGACGATACAGAGACAAGAGAAGGTAAGAAGGCCACATCTGTCTGCTTAATGCCTCTGTATCCGCAGCGGACTGATGCTCTGATATTCAGTGTGTATTTTCCTTTTTCTCCCTGCGTCTGCCAGCTAACGGCACGCATGGGGAGATGTGCTGTGGCACTGCGGAGATATGGAGGAGAGGAGAGGAGAGGAGAGGAGAGGAGAGGAGAGGAGAGGGAGGGAGGGAGGGAGGGAGGGAGGACCGACCGGCATTAGGATACAGACAGGACTAAGTCGGAATGGAAAGAAAGACAGCAGGTTAAACAGAAGGAAATAGACATCTGCCGGGGCTTTGCTGTGAGGGTGGGGGGGGGGGAGGGGTTGCCGGGGAGGGGGTGTAGCATTTTTTGGGAGAGTGCAGCAGTGTGTCAGCTGTCAACATCTGTAGTTTCACCTCCATGTTGGAGGTAAGTTTTTGTTTGAACCACACCCTTCGAGATTCAATTATGCTTCTGTAGTTGCATTTGATGAGTGTGTGATTCTAGGAAGTGCGTGTTAGTGCGTGTGTGTGTGTGTGTGTGTGTGTGTGTGTGTGTGTGTGAATAGCATGTTGGATGCTGGCCAAACATGCTTAGTGTTTCCTCCCATTAATGTCAGGAGTGGATTAACTGAGTGTGAGTCCAGCCAAGGCGTTCGATCATTCACTGACTTTGATGTTGTCACTCTGAACTGTGTGCGATGGCGTGTGGACGCAAATAGATGTACTGTAGCACCTGTGTGTGTGTGTGGATGTGCCTGCGTTGTGTCAGAATACATGCATGTGAGAAAGGCTTTAGTGCAAGATGTTGCAGTGGTAAATCCTTCTGCTCCTGGCCCTCGGTTAAAAATCTTCGTGTCTGGGCCAAAAATGACGTCGTCCAGCACATTGTAAAAACATGTTGCTCACACACGAGCAGTGAGGACCTTTGTCATGTGGCAAAGTAAAATAGCCTCTCAGCGGCAGCCTGCTCGGAACAGCTTGACTGAGCATTTTTTGTTTTAGAGTCTCGATGCCAAGGCATTTTTCACAGCATCGTGGATGACGAATTTACATAAAAATCGAGAGAGTGTGTTTCTTTTGATCCCCACAACGTGGCAATAGTCACGGCAGATGGCATATTTCCCGTGGAAAGAGGGAAAATAACCTCATCAATTCGGTCGCTGAACCCATCTGGTTTCTGCAGTGGAGAAACGGAGGAAGTCAAGACATTTATGGTATTATGGGACCAAAACTAAATATTCAACTTTAACACACAATTTGGTTAGTTTCCTATTACAATCACACATACACACATTTTTTTACAAGCAGTACTGTAATCAGCCCCTGCCCTTTGCAAAGTACTCATTTACCCAGAGCTCCCAGAGCATTAATATAACTTTAAGCAACTATTTCTTATGTGTTAATTAATACGGAGGCGTAATGTACTAATGTAATGACTCACATCCTCTATGCGTGTCGTAATCTCAGTTTCTTTGGCTTTGTTGGTGAACCGTGTGCTATTTAGTGCCTATTAGTGCCGAGTTGTGCGTGTGACTAGTAGGTGATAGTGCACGTGAGCACGCACCACTGGCTTGCTCATAGCTGATCAGCATGGTGCTCATACTGCAGCAACGGCTCATCAAGTAGCGACCACACACCGGTTCCCCGTCAGGTAAACGCTGTTAGCTTCATCAGCACAGTTGCAGTTGTTTTTTCTTCTCGTGCTGTTTTTACTTTTTGCAGTGCAAGTGCAATACGCTCTGGTTACTTATTGAAAAGCGTGAAAACCAACTAAACTAGCCATGAACCGCTATTGATTTCCTCTTACGCTATACAAAAATATTGAGTGTTATTGCTGTTTTAAATCATTTAACTCTGAAAGGCCCCCGAAGCACAGGAAAAATAAAATGCTATTCAACTATTAACGGTGGTACTGTGTACTTCTGCCAGAGAAAAAAAACAATGCACTCATTTATTTATTTAGTCTTCCTGCAAAGCAAATTTATATGATATTGTTAAAGTGTATACATTTTACCCAAGTCATTAATGAATGACCAACAATAAGAGTCAATGGTTTATAAATACTAACTTCTGATCCGTGTGCATTTGAGCTAAATGTGTCTAGATGGTGGTTGTATGACGAAGGCTGTTGTCTGACCAGCTGACATCTTCTGACCTCATCATGTTATCTGCACTAACCTCTTAACCACATTTGAACGTAAAAAGTCACATTCTGCCCAGGAGGCAACGCAAAAAGCTTGTTTAAGTATATTTGTGGATGAGTGGTAGTTGTTGTGTTTTTGCAGCGATGTGAGGTGGTGCTCTCTGAATGCCTGCGTGAGCACGGAGCATCTGTCAGGGACAGTTGACCAAACCTTTTAGGGTTTGTTCAACCCTCTCTGACTAAGCGAATGCTGGTGACCCAGTGTGATTAGTATTTACCCATGTAATTTACTGTTAACCAAAATATTTTTAATGGAGTACAAATGGAATATTTAGAATTTTATATATACATATATATGTATATATATATATATATATACTTTTTAAACAAAAATGTCATCAGCCAAAAAAGGCTTTAACCATTTAAAGAAAAAAACAATAGTAATGAACTAATAATAGACTTTGATGTGTAATATCTATGTTTTTCCTTACAGCAGTAAATGCATCTGCTTGTGCAAATTTGAGAAAACTATTGTATCCCATTAGCAGTGTTGTTGCTGCCTAGTTGTAAATAACCATTTCATCTTTGCATTGTTCCAGGTTCTAGTAGGTATTGACAGAGAACGCAATGAGACTCCTTAGTCACCCATGGGTGCCAATTAAAGGTGCTCCCACAATGCCTCACTTTGATGACCTCACCACGTCGGCGTAAAAGCAGCTCAGAAGATGACGTAATTCTCCTACGACTCAACACCCAACTGCTACAGAAGGAGTCATAATGAACCACAAGCCTTTGATTGTTTTGTCAAAGAGAATAGAAATCCGTATGTTACAAGCCTTGACTTTCGAATGTGCTTGTGGTACGTCAGAGAAAGTTTTATAATCCTAAATTTGATGACACACTATGCTGTTTTAGCTATTAGTAGTTCCTGGATGCAATCTTTTCCTCATCCTTCTATGTGACATCCTCTTAGTTCATTATTCATGAGCTCATTGCGGTCTCTCTCTGTGGTCGGGATAATCATGTTAAGATTATGTGCCATCCAAGCAAAACGAGACATTTTAGAAAGGCTTTAGGAGGAATAATTTGCCAATTTTCAATATAGAAACATTGAAATAACATTTAGGGTGCTGTTCTGTGTTTGTCATGATTGAGCTGAACAAGCAAATGGATGAGCGCAACTTCTTGCCTGGACATTGTGGTGTATTGTAACTCCCTGCTTCACATAAGCCCCACAATCAACTCTACATTCTTTGTCGTTTGTTTCCAGCCTCGATCCTGCTCTCTTCATAGCCTTTTGACCTGTTTCTCCAGTCTGCAGACTTTGAAAGGATTTAATAATCTTCTTAGTTCTTGGCTTCTGTGTCTCTTTCTTTATCAACCAGTCAGTGTTTCTAGATTGATTTGATATATGCCTTTAGTAGCTGCTCCAGAAATGCTCATTAAACATTGAGATTTGTAAAAATGATGATTTATTTGATGCCTCCGTGCAAGGTAACACGCCAACACAAGATGCCTCATCTTGGCAGGCCTCCATAAGGTGGCAGACAGCACTAACATAAACAGAAAAAGCATATTTGTATTTTACAAATAGACAGCAGAAAGGCACACTACAGTCAGACAGGTTAGGGTTATTTTCTAAACAGTCTGAATATAATATCTGTCAATATTTCAACCGAGTAAACACATCAATGCTGTATAATTACTTACTGAAGATGTAAAATCCTAAAAAAAAAATCCAATTTGAGTTACTTAATTCCATCTTTATTGGCACTAGCAAAAGAAGGCCTCCTTGGCCAGAAAAATCCTCCATATTTTTGGAAACACATACTGCTCATTTTTTACATTTAACACAGCTTTGTTGAGTGGTTTTTGTTTTGTTGCATTCTTCGGGTGTTTCGATTTCGCATCCCTCTGTGGTTCCAGTGTTTCCATTGGTAGGAAGTATGGAGAATATTGAGCGGAGTGACTGGGATATTGATCGATAGAGGCTGCAATAAGTCGCTGGCCGACTGTAGCAGCGTGATTCTGTCAGCTTATGAATATATAAAGAGAGTTATTGTGCAAGAATCATCTGGTCCTTTTATGGAGAGCTAAAATGATTTTCTGATCTTTTTCTGAGCATGCAACTATATTGTATACGATAATCTTTGGACCAGATGATCCCATTCTCCTGCTTTGTTACACACCAACACAAACTCAAAAGGGCCTCAGTGTGATTAATGGTACCAGAAGGGGCAGTTTTGCTTACTTGTTTAGACGGACGACTTACATTACATTACATTACATGTCATTTAGCTGACGCTTTTATCCAAAGCGACGTACAATAAGTGCATTCAACCATAGGGTACAAACTCAGGAGAACAAGAAACAAGAAAGTGCAATTTCCTCGAATAAGCCAATTTACAATTTGCTATAGATGAGTGACGTTACAAGTACAATTTAAGTGCTGCAATTTGTTAGTCTTTAGTCGAGGTAGAGTCTGAAGAGGTGTGTCTTTAGTTTGCGGCGGAAGATGTGAAGGCTCTCTGCGGTCCTGGTGTCTTCAGAGAGCTCGTTCCACCATTTCGGCGCAAGGACAGCGAAGAGTCGAGACCTAGTCGAGTGTTTTGCTCTCAGTGAGGGAGGGACGAGTAGTTTTGCAGATGCAGAGCGGAGAGTGCGGGTTGGGATGTAGGGTTTGACCATGTCCTGGATGTAAGCTGGACCCGATCCATTCACAGCATGGTACGTGAGCACCAATGTTTTGAACTGGATGCGGGCGGCCACCGGTAGCCAGTGAAGAGAGCGGAGGAGTGGAGTAGTGTGGGAGAATTTCGGAAGTTTGAGGACCAGTCGAGCTGCTGCATTCTGAATGAGCTGCAGAGGTCGAATGGCGGTGGCAGGGAGACCTGCCAGGAGGGAATTGCAGTAGTCCAGACGGGAGATGACAAGAGCCTGAATCAGTACCTGCGCTGCCTTCTGAGTGAGAAGGGGACGTATTCTCCTGATATTGTAGAGCGTGTATCTACAGGATCGCGTTGTCGCGGCAATGTTGGGAGTCAGGGAGAGTTGGCTGTCGAGTGTGACGCCGAGGTTCTTAGCGGTCGAGGTGGGCGTTAGTACGGAGTTCCCAAAGTTGACTGTCAGGTCCTGGGTAAGCGAATCTTTTCCGGGAAAGAGAAGTAGTTCAGTCTTGTCGGGGTTGATTTTCAGATGGTGGGCGGACATCCACTGAGAGATGTCAGTTAGACAGGCAGAGATCCGAGCCGCCACCTGGGTGTCCGAGTGAGGAAAGGAGAGAATTAGTTGGGTGTCATCGGCATAGCTGTGGTAAGAGAAGCCATGCGAGCGGATGACAGCGCCAAGAGAGTTTGTGTAAAGCGAAAACAGGAGGGAACCCAGCACGGAACCCTGAGGAACTCCAGTAGTAAGAGGACAAGGTTCCGACACAGATCCTCGCCAGGTTACCCGGTAGGTGCGACCATCGAGGTAGGACGAGAGAAGGGAGAGAGCAGAGCCTGTGACACCAAGTTCCTGAAGGGAGGAAATAAGGATCTGGTGGTTGACCGTGTCAAATGCAGCAGAGAGGTCCAGAAGGATGAGGACAGAGGAGAGAGAGGCGGCTCTAGCAGTGTGGAGTTGCTCAGAGACAGCAAGGAGAGCAGTCTCTGTGGAGTGGCCTGCCTTGAAACCTGACTGGTGGGGGTCAAGGAGGTTGTTACAGTGGAGATAAGAGGAGAGTTGATTAAAGATAGCACGTTCAAGGGTTTTGGACAAAAAGGGAAGAAGAGAGACCGGTCTGTAGTTGTTTTCTTCAGAAGGGTTGAGGGTGGGTTTCTTCAGGAGAGGGTTGACTCTTGCCTCCTTCAGAGAATTGGGAAAACAGCCAGATATCAGAGCGTTGTTGATGAGACAGGTGAGGAACGGAAGAAGGTCAGGTGCAATAGATTGTAGAAGATGTGATGGAATGGGGTCAAGAGGGCAGGTGGTCGGACGGGCAGAGGTTACTAGGGTAAGAATTTGGTTAGGAGAGAGGGCGGTGAAAGAGGAAAGTGAGGGCGAAAGAGGTGAGGTCGGTGGGACGCGAGAAGTAGGAGGTGGGTTTGAGAAGGAGGAGCGTATGTCAGCTATTTTCTTGGCGAAGTAGTTGACAAAGTCTCCCGGAAGAAGGGTGGAGGGGGGAGGAGGGGTAGGGGGTTCGAGGAGATTGGAGAAGATCGAGAAGAGTTTTTTGGGGTTAGAGAATGAGGATTCGATTTTGGATTGGTAGAAGGAGCTTTTGGCAGCAGAGATAGAAGCAGAAAACGAGGAGAGGAGAGATTGAAATTCGAGCAGGTCCTCAGGTCGTTTATATTTACGCCATTTCCTTTCCGACGCTCGCATGGTGGCTCTCATGGCACGGACCGGTTGAGACAGCCACGGAGCCGGAGGGGATTTGCCAGTCCGTCGTGTCGTAAGAGGGCAGAGAGAGTCTAGAGAGGAGGAAAGAGTTGAGAGGAGAGACTCTGCAGCAGCGTTTGGATGCAAGAGTGAGAAGGAATCAGTTGAAGGGAGGGCTGATAGAACAGAGGATGCCAGCGAGGAGGGAGAGAGGGAGCGAATATTGCGACGAGCCGGTATAGAGTTAGTCAATGAGGGAGGTTTGTTAGTTATAGAGAGTGGAAGGGAGTAAGAGATGAAGAAGTGATCAGACACATGAAGTGGAGTTACAGAGAGGTTAGTGGTAGAGCAGTTTCTAGTAAAGATGTAGTCAAGGTGATTGCCGGCTTTGTGAGTAGGAGGAGAGGGACTGAGTGACAGAGCGAAGGAAGAGAGTAGGTGTAAGAGGTCAGGTGACTTCTCTGTCTGGATGTTGAAGTCACCCAGGAGGATGAGCGGAGGTCCATTTTCGGGGAAATTAGACAGGAGAATGTCCAGTTCTTCCAAGAACTTACAAATGAACACCTACATGTTTACAGCTCTGTAAAATAAAAAAATGCCGCCTGAATTTACAACATGAAGGCGGATTCATGGCTATAAATACTGAACGTGGGCCTCTGGATGCTTTAACATCTGTTCTACATACTACTCACTCAAACACATGAACGCCATTACCCTATTTGTAAAATTATTTTGCCTTTTCTGAGAATAGAGTCCCCTCAGAAAGCTGCACGAATCTGTGCTGGATGTTGATTTTTTTTATCATAATCTTTCCCCTTGCAGGTTTCCTCCCCACCTTACCTCACTGCCCCATGAAAGAAGCCATGCCGGTCCTCACAGCAGGAGCGGGTGAGATGAGTTGGCACAGATGGCCGTCACATACCGTCCCGTTCTGCTTGAATCTTGCTCTGCTCCATCTGCTCATGTAAATAAACATGCTGGGTGTTTCTTATACCTCTCCTCCGTAGGGCTCCATGAAACACTGGCCCTGCTGACCTCTCAGCTACGGCCCGATGCCAATCACAAAGAGGACATGGTCTTCCTGAAGGACGTCTTCAGCGAGCGGAGTTTGGGATGTCTCATGAAGGTAAGGGAATTGACCCAAATCTGTCTGATTCCACAAGATATGCACCTATAGTTGGAATAAGTAGCAATATACCATTGAATTTATATCCACGATTTACGCTTGTTTTCCAAAATAAAACAAGCTTCTTAGAGTGAAGAGTGGATCCAATTATCCTGTTTAAGAAAGAAAATCTCATTGTTTTTTTCAAAAACCTGAATATATGACTTGTTTACTGCTCTGAAAAATATTGTGGCAGATTTTAATGTAAATTTTGTTACTTTGATTTAATATTTTGAATAGAACAATGTTACTATGTTTGTGTCCCCTATGTTTTTTTTTCTTCTTTTTACTCTGTTAGCGGGATATAAATATACATAAAAAGAATATATAAAGGAATGATTTAAGTTTTGAGTTTCGAAATTTAAGAGTCCTGTTCGTGAGCACACATTCACACATTGTCAGGCACATGGACTCATTCTGTGGATGTCGTTACCCTCGTGTGTTTGTGTTTCAGATCCACGAGAAGTTGAGACAGTATGAGAGACAGAGTCCAACACCTGTCCTCTACAGCGCCTCTTCTCTGGCAGAGGATGTGAGTCCATCGCACACACACACACACACCCTAAATTACTTTTCCACTTGGGCACAGCAGTCGATAACAATGAGTTAGCTCCGACAGAGAGGCACTGCAGGTTTCAAAAGTGAATTTTAATGTTCTCAAAGTGCTGAATCATCCCGGTGCCCTTCTAATGAATCTCCACATCCTGCTGCTTACCAGTTATCAGTGCAGAAACCGCTGACCGTAGCTGCTCACCACTTACCTTCCCCTGTGTGCATGTCTGTTGTGTATCCGTTTGTATGTATTCTACAGTCAAATGCAGCCTGCATTACTGGTCTACACACACTGCACACGCGTGTACTAGGACAGCGCTCATGTGTACTTTGTGACTGGCAGGTGGCAGAGGAGCTTCACAGCGGACCAATGAGCACCGAGGAGAAGGAGCTGCTGCACCTGCTGACTTCCCCACATCTCAAGGTCAAACCCCTTTTTTTTGCTCTGCTTCCGGTTTTTTGGCCTTATAATAGTATCACAAGGAGGTGAAGCACCGGTGTAAATTCATTTGGTCAATTTTCCTCGTCAGATATTTCATTTGCCCATAAAAACATTTCTGTAGCTGCTTGACCTTCAGCTCCCTTGAGAGCGGATTTTTCAGCACACGTGGTTTTCTGTCCCATCAGGCTGTTCTCTCGGTGCACGACACTGTGCGCAGAAGAACTTTGAACCCCGTGCTGCCGCCGCTGCCCGACGACTTGAGGACGAGCTGGAGGAAGAGTCGGTAAAGATTGTTCGGCTGGTGAAGAACAAGGAGCCTCTGGTGAGTTGTGATTAGGACGAGATTGGAGAGAGAACTGGATGAAAGGTGTAGAGATGATGAGACTGGGGACCCTCGTGTTCTGTCAACGATCTCGTATTATTTGTCTGCACTCCAGGGAGCCACCATCAGGCGGGACGAAGCCACCGGGGTGGTGATAGTTGCTAGAATCATGAGAGGAGGTGCAGCTGACCGAAGCGGTAAATTGTTCTTGCTTTCACACAATAGAGACTCATACTATCATGAGTGTTACCGTGGAAATGCAGGTGTATGTGTGCACAGCACTCTGCACACACATGCTCTATACGAGTATGATTGCAGCATGTCTGCGATGTGTGCTCCCCGTCCTGAGGGAAAAGCAGTCGGATCACTGATCCTATACTAGATGTTAAAAATCCTACACACCAATGATATAGTAATTGATGTTTTTTGCCCACTCGTCCTCACAGGTTTGGTCCATGTAGGAGATGAACTCAGGGAGGTCAATGGAGTCTCTGTGATCCACAAGAGGCCGGATGAGATCAGTCAGCTGCTGGTAAGACAATTCTGCTGCAGATTTAGAGAAGTACTCGTATGCATCTACTACATAGACGTACTCAGAAGGAATGTAGGGCTGTGTACAAAAAAATAAGCTAAAATGTTCTGTCCATCTTTTATTTATTCATAAACAGGTTGCATTGACAGTCCAGTAAAAGCTACTTCTGGGAGCCTTTTAGTGAAAAAAGAGTGTGTTTGTCTTTAATCTGCACTCCTCTCTCCCCCATGTAGTCCCAATCTCAAGGCTCGATCACTCTAAAGATAATCCCTGCCATTAAAGAAGAAGACCGACTCAAGGACAGCAAGGTGAGATGAAGCGTGGTTGTCTGCTCATGCTCAGTGAAACTCACTGGAAATCTTTTATTTCTGTCATTCGGTTAAATACACGTTCTCAGTAATTGCAGAGGAATAATGACTTAAATCAAATTGAAATAAAACAATGAATTGTATTCCCTTTTTCAGGATAGTTTCGCCCATGTTTAGTTTATTCAAAATTATAAACATCTCAATCTGGAGCTTCTTGTTTTCTATCCCAGGTGTACATGAGAGCCTTGTTTGACTACGTCCCGCTGGAAGACAAAGCGACGCCTTGCCAAGAAGCGGGACTTCCCTTCAAGCGGGGGGACATCCTGCAGGTCGTGACCCAAGACGACCACACGTGGTGGCAGGCCAAGCGCGTGGGAGACAGCAACCTGCGGGCCGGACTCGTCCCTTCCAAACTGTTCCAGGAAAGGTAAGGAGACACGCAAAATGTAAACATGTGGTGTAAACTGATCACTGGTCTGTACGGTTCACCCGTATTTATTCCACCCAGCTATTTGTAATCCGACAAATCCACATTTGTGTGTTCCACTTTGAAGGGTCAACTATGATTAGATGGAGCATCAGAGCAGCGTGGAGAAGAAAAAAAACCCAAAAAGCATTTGAAACACAGCCTTGAATTGGCGCATGCTGATATTGTTGGTGTCATAATCCGTCAGTAGGATGATCCCGGCTGGCCGGGAGATCCCTGCCAAACACTACAGCGTCTGTTGGATTAATAAACAGGGCTTAAACACAGAGAAAGACGCATGGTATCTGAGCTCGGAAAAGCCCACGTGCTGGGTTTTCTGGGGTAAATAATTATTTAGGATGACATAAGACTTCAATTCTGTTGATGTTTTGCATTTCTGCTGCACATTAAACTCGATGATGACGATGACAAACTCGACAAACAGATGCTACCTTTGTTAAACTGACATAACAAGAGCTCAAGTCTGCTCACAGACCGTATGTTGTGGAAAGTGTTTACGGTGCACTAAGCTCAGCTTGAAGTCACTCTTTATATTTCATTTTATAGTCAACCAAACGGCTGAAAAAGAAATGCAAAGCTTCCCATAATTGCCACGAAATAACCATAAAGAGACGTAAGAGTTGATGACACCAGACACTCAAATGTGAAATAAAAGAATAAACAAAACTCAAAAATGAAACAAAGAGACCTGAAACAACCGCAAAGACACTTACAACAGACATGAAGACAAGCAAGCGGCGATGTTTGTAGTTGTGTGGTTTGGGAGCAGTGGCCCTGTTGGTTTCCAGGAGTCTCGTAATCTGTCTATAAATAAGTGTTTTATGTCCCTGTTCCACCTCTCTGACGTTCCCTCCTCACCCTTTCGTTTACTGTGTATTTCTGATTTGCTCTGCTCCTGCTTCCACCCTCTCTGCCTCTTTGTTTGCTGCGCATTTCTCCAGGCGACTGGCCTACAGGGTGAAAATGGGCACACTTCCGAATCCAAAATCCCCTAAAAATCCCGTCTGTAAGTTTCTGCTTCCCAGGATTCCACTGCATCTTCAGCATTATTTCCATAATCACGGTTTACTACCTGCAGCATCTCCTAGTATCAACTCAATCACTGTCACTGTAGGAATATAATACCTCCGCTGGATATATGCAGCAATGTTTTTATTGACATTTATTGACATTTTTTGCTGCTAATTGGCATTTTCAGAGGCATTAGTATTCAATGTCGGTCCTCTCCATGCCGCTATGCAGGCTTTTTTTTTTTTTTTTTTAAAGGATGAGGGAGATGGAGGGGCACAGAGACGGAGGATCACAGATATGAATTAATCTCTTTCATGTTCGTGGTCCATCTGGCCAGCGAGCAGCTTAAGTAGATCCAGACAAGCTGCACCCACACTGAGGAACAAAGCCTCGACAATACAGTGCGCTTCTCGCTTTCTCTCTCGGCAGCGCGGACGTGGCGTGTAAACGGCCAGGTGAGAGGAGTGGGTGATGTGAAGTGGTGGCTCTTTGCGGCACGTAAGCTGCAGACAATCCGATTAGGCCTGAGCCACGGGGACACAACAAGAGCTTAGCAGCATGGCAGCTCGCCCCCGTTTACGGCCAGCCTGCAGGGACTCTCCTGCCTCCGCCTCCCCCCCTGGGCTCCTCCAACCCTTTGATTCGTTCCCCCAAATCGGCCAGCAGGGGCCTTCTTCATCTGTGACGTCATTGGCGACGGCAATAAACCCCTTCAAACGTTAAATCCTCCATTTCATACATTTCCAGGACATTATCTGCAATCTAAAGTGACCTTTAGCTTCACCTGCTCTAACGATTTCGCTCTCCTCCGTTTCTTCTCGTTGCAAACTGTGTCAGATGACCAAGGATGTGATAAAGGTGGGTACGTGTGCGGAAAAACAAACATGAACACACAGTCGCACCCTCATACAAACCACACCATGGAAAAAAATAATCAGAGAGGCCTCAAAGCCTCAATGTGTGTGTGTGCATTTGTGTGTGGTGGTGGAGGGGGGGGGGGGGGATTTCTGCTGCTTCAAGCTTAATTCCTCCCCTCCTCCTGCTGTTAGTGCACCCGACTAGAATGGAGATTCTTTGCCTGGATTGTGTGTGTGTGTGTGTGTGTGTGTGTACCAGGTGATGTGCAGGCAGAACCGCCTCCCCGGGGACTTTAGCCCGACCAGGCAGAGCTCGTTAAAGATAACAATAGCTCCTCTTTCCTTTGACGTCATCCTCATCCTCATTCTCCGACTCTATTATCCTTTGTTCTGTTCCCTCCCTTATCTTTTAGTTTGCCGCAGTCTCATCTGCTCTTTTCTATGTTGTTGATTTGTAGGTTTCTATTTGCGAGACAGTATGTACCCCGGCTATGAATCTTTGTGGAGGCGAGGCTTGTGTACTTGTGTGTGTCTGTGTGTGTGTGTCTGTGTGGGTCACTCTGCTGACAGCTGGCTCCTTTCTAGAAGAAGAGGACGAGAGCCATCTCTCTCCTCCTCTCAGAACTTCACATCTCTCCATCGCCCTCGTTACCGGCTGTCACGCCGAACAGCCTCTTCCTCGATATCTCTTGGCCGCCCTCCTCTCTCGCCTCCTGCCGTCTGCCTGCCTGCTGCCCGTCTGCCCCCACTGCCCTCTCCGATGCCCCGTGGCCTGCCCCCCCTCCTTCCTTCCACCTGCCCTTACTCCTTGACTCTTCCAGGTCTCTTTACCCTGTGCTTACCCCCTGTTTTCCCTGCTTGCCTCCCTACAGAGGACTGTGACTGTGAGGGCTATTTCAATGGACAGTACATAGGTGAGAGCGTGTATCTTTCTCCACCTCCTTTCTCCACCTCCTCTCTCCCTATCTGCCATTTGCCTGCTGCGGCCTGGCTGTGCGTTGGTTTCCCTGGATGCTTTTGGGCTTGGGGGTCAAAACGGCTGCTTGACTTGTCTGGGGTCGGGGGGAGGTTTTGGCGGGCGATGGGTCCAGAGATAGAAACGAGAGGAGGGAGATGAATGGGGGAAGACAATAATGGAATGGAAAGGAAATAATAATAATAGTAATGTGAAAAAGGAAGAGTAGGAAGTGTCGCCTCACACTTCTGAAGATGCCAGTAACAGCATACAGTGATAAGAGATAATCGTGTTAGATATCACAGTATGGAAGCAAAACCAACGCAGGATGTATTACATTGACAGCAAATCATTGATTGTTCTAACACAGATTTTTTACTGGTTTATAAATGTTTCATTACTTGAAGCTTCCTGAAAATATCTGGTGCTCCTTAAAGGGGAAAAGGAGACAGTGTTTGATTGGTAGAATTCATTGGTATTTCTAAAGATCAGATCAGCAGATCTGGTCATTTAGTAAGTGAATGAATTTGAATAAATGCAAATAAAATGGTGTTGAAGTAGAGCAGTTTTTCCTCTAGATAAGATAATTCCAAATTGTAGTTTCAATTGTTGCCATCCCAGTAAAGTGTCTTCAAAACGATTCGGAAAGTATTGGAAGTTTACTTATTACTAATTGCATGGTGTCCAGGTTAAAATAAGAGTGGACGGAACACTTTAATCCCCTTTATTCTCAGCACCTTTAGCTCACCTCGCCCCCATTTACTCCCCCCACATCCTTTAAGCCGCTGGAATGATGACGCTGATGAGGACAAGGAGCAATCGATACACAGCTGAAAGCTTATCAGCCTTCCTTCTCCCTTTAACACAAAATACATTATTAAAACAGTATTTGTGCTTTCTATCGTGCACTCTGCTTGGAGCTGAAAATCCCTCCCCCACATCCCGCCCTCCCCATTCTCAACCTCCCTCCCTTCTGCCTTTCATCTAACTAACTGCCCCTGTGCTGAGGCCAGTGAACTGCTTGCCCTTTCACCTCCCCCCCCCGCCCTCCAACCCCGCCCGCCCGCCCCCCATACCTGCCGTCCCCCCCCCCTGCCCACGAGGGGCCCTGCTGCGTTGGGCATTGCACACTCAACCAGGCACGTTTGCTGCTCGTTCACCCTGTGTGGAGGTGTGAGGCTGAGTTGTGTGATGCTCTAACGCCAGTTACAGTCTCTCCTAAGTGTAAAGCAGTGGCGCCCTCCTGTGGCCAGGTGTTTTCCTGGGAATTTTATTCAGGTACAGTGGCCATCTCGTTCCCCTCGGGCACACACCACTGGAGGGGGGGATACAGACAGTCCTGGCCATGGGAGACCCTGATTTGCTGTCACTCGTAGCTGATGTGGTGTTTCTCAGGGCCAGGCTGAGCCGTCTGTCCCGCCTCGGCTCTGGAGCCTCTTTTAGAGCAGCATGCCTTGTTTTTGTTGGAAAATTATTATGATTGTTTTGGATCTTTGAGAGCTGTTTTGAACTCGTCAAAGTGTGAATCAATTGTACAAAGTGAACTTAAGGAATGGTTTGTTCAAAACTGTCTTTTTCACCTGATGACGTGAACATTAGCTGCATGTATTTCTCTTTTTGGTTGAAGCATGACGTCTAATTGGCTCAAAGATCAGCCTAACATCACGAGATCAAGAAAGAGTGAGCTAATCTCATCCCTGTGCACTGTTGACAAGGGTTTTTAATGCATGATCATCAATGTTTTTTGCGTTTGCTCACTGCAGCTATCTAATAACTGTATTTGAGAGCAAAACAATTGTATCTGCATCGTGGAAGTAAAATAGTGATTTATGTTATGAATAACTTGATGGCTCGTGTCATCTTTTTTCTTTCTGCGCCTCCTTCCTGCCCGTCTATGGCCTCGCTGTAGCCGGTCTGCGGAGGAGTTTCCGGCTGAGTCGCAAGGACAGGCAGGGATCCTCCGGAGAGGGTTCTGATCCTGGGGACTCCGACTACCTGACCTATGAAGAGGTGACCCGCTACCAGCAGAGGCCCAATGAAAGGCCCCGTCTGGTAGTTCTGATTGGTGAGGCGGAGTCCTTGAAAGGCATACAAGTGATGATACTGACACCTTGTGGATCAGAGCGTGTGTTACAACGTGTTGACGGTACATTATTTCTGTTCCTCTCATTTCAAAACACACACTCCTGGAAAACAAGGATCTCTTGGAGCACGAATCAACGAACTCAAACAGCGGGTGATTGCGGAAAACCCACATCGCTTCGCAGTGGCGGTTCCCCGTGAGTCATCAGTCATACACATGTCCCCATCAATGTACACATCTACACATACGTAGACCTATGTGTATACATGTAAACCTCCTCTGTATTTCCACAGATACCACCAGGCCCAAGAAGCCTCACGAGAAGGAGGGCGTGGAGTACCATTTTGTTACCAAACAGCAATTCGACGCAGACGCTTTAAACAACAAGTATGTTCTGACTGACACTGTGTTGCTTTTGGGTGAACGTAAATCATTTGTTCCCCGCTGAAGGTGTCGCTGTTTCCCCGCAGGTTCATAGAGCACGGGGAATACAAGGAGAACCAGTATGGCACAAGTATAGAGGCCATCCGCTCTGTCCAGGCCAAGAATAAGATGTGTGTAGTGGATGTGCAACCCGAGGTAGGCGTCCTGCTACAACCGCTGAGCGATGACCACATTCAAAATGTATCCCACGATCACGTGACTATTGATGAGGGCGTGTTGCAAGTGGGATCAGATCTACTCACTATGTGGAGCGTCTGATGCATCACTGCTGAGCCTCTCCGATCATGTCTGATCTCTGTGGCCTCTGTCTGCTTCACTGTTTTGTGAATCCACCGTCCATGCAGGCCCTGAGGAGGCTTCGGACAGCCGAGTTCAAGCCCTACGTGATATTTGTCAAACCTCGTGTTCCTGAGAGCAGACGTCGTCGCAGCGCTGCGACTTCACCGGGAGGAGGAGAGCATGGCCGAATTACAGTGAGCCTAAATACTCCCTTCGCAGTCGTTAGATGGAGTACAAATATGTTTTGCATATGCATATGTTTTGTTTTGGTTGGACAAGTATGGCCATAAATAAAGAATTTTACGTTTACATTTTTGAGGTACTCCCAATGTGCATACACAGAACGGGGTACAGAAGACGATACAAAATAACATACAGCTTGAAACAACAACATAAGAAAGACATTGCATCAACTAAACGGAGTGCTCTTGACTTTGAATCCAGTTAGCACAACATTTGGTGACAGGCCTGCAGCTGAGTCATAGTCATTCTATTATGTGAGTGCACAAGAAGTATTGTCAGTTCCTGTCCAAGGTCCTATTTACTGGTGGATTGAACAAAGTTTCCATTGTTTGAGAACTTGGTGTGATAATGATTGGTCAGGTAGTACCAAGGGTTGCCAGGGAAACAGTGAATGGCCGGTGAATAAAATTGACGGTCTCAAGTTTATTTTTGTCGGCCAGAGACTGTTGCATAAGAACCGTTAACTCCTTTTGAGGTGTCCATTATCAGGAATAAATGGACTTCTTTAAGGATCTGTCCTCCGCATTGTTTATTTATCCCGGCAATGGACACTTCATTTGGCATCATGCCATACGTACACCACTGAGAAATTTTGCCACTAATATTTACTCTGACCTAAATAAGGTTCTGTATCAACCGTTACTTTCTGCGATAGGACGAAGATCTCCAAGAGATGCGTCAGTCGGCGGCTCAGATCGATCAGCAGTACGGACACCTGGTGGACCGGATCCTGGTCAAGGAGGACTCGGCCAGCGCCTGTGCAGAACTCCGAGGTATCCTGGAAAGGCTGGAGCGGGAATCCTTCTGGGTACCTCTCAGCTGGGTGCGGACCTAAATATCCCCCCCAGCATCTTCCAGACGAACTTGACCCCGACGAACCAAAATTCTCCACTGCTACGCCCTCCCCGCCAACTCCCCCAACTCCCCCAAGAGCTGGTCAGACAGCAAGGAACTAAAGCACTGATGGGAGAGGAGGGTGTCTGCAACCAATAAATCCATCTGGACACTTCATGTCATATTATTCAGGTTTGGTTTTATGACTTATTTGACAGATGCAAGTTCATAGATAAAGACCAATTTTATTTTCTCAGGCTTTTTCACGCTGCATAGTTCATGAGATGGGTGATCCCGCCCACAGGATTGCTGACAGGCAGCTTTATTATGACTCTTGGAGTACATTTAGTACCATGTTTGCTGTTTACTGTTTTTTACTTTTTACTGTTTTTTGTCCAACTGACATCCAATCTCCCAGTGCTTCCTGTTGATTTATACCGCTCATGCATCCTGTACAATTTTACAACCAATCATATATTCAGCTAAACAAGAGAAATTGATATATCAAGTTAAGTGAATGAAACTGTTCTATTTGCAAAATCAAATTGCTACATACGGACAGAAACTAAACAATATTCAAATGGAATGTGAGAATTTTATTTTCTACAAAACCGTTTTTATAAAATGCATGGAAACGCATCACTCATTCTCATTTGTAAATATTGTAAATGTTAACTCCTCATGTGCCAACGAATTCTCGTAGCACCTCGATGCAACCTGTTTACCTTTTGATCCCCGGGAACCCACATCTGTCCGTATGGGTGCACAAAATATCTGTGGATGGATGTCACAGTCTATATTCAATTACAACAACCTGAAATGCTCCTTTATGTACAGGAATTGGTTACGTACAGTTTCCTTCCACACGTCTGTATTTTTGACTACAGGGTTTTTGCTTTATTGTTAGAGACGAAGCAGAGGTTGAGAAAGTTGAGAAAATACGTCTCAAAATAATCAGCTAGTATTTTCTTAATTTAATACATTTTTAATTTATTATCAATGAAAAATGAATAAGATTTCCTGGTTAGGCTTTCCAATCAAAGACTACGTGTCTTTTTCATTTTTCACACACAGGAGAAATGATCACAGAGATCAATATTGGTCTTTGTATAACATGAAAATAGTTTTGAAGTTTTGATTAACTATAGTTACTTATATTATTATTTTTTGTTGTGTGGTTAAAATTAATCAGCGTTCAAATCAGTTTTAAACATGCATTTTAAATACGGATCACTTCATGTCCCTGAATGTTGAGTTTGTAATGTGACCTGTGGAAAGTGCCATAATAAAAGCTAGCTGAGTCTAATGTTTGATCTTACTTTTTGCTTTATGATGTGCACCCTCCTCATATCTAAATTGCTCCATCTTCCACTCTTGAGTTATATTATATTTCAATTATATTTTTCACATTACCATCCTAGTACTAATTAAAGATATGACATGCATATAGTCACAAAAAACATAGAGAGAGGTTATAGAGGTAAGTATCCTGTCCGCTATATTTTAATGGATTGTTTTATTATTTGAAGTGTAGTATTAGTCGGTATATAAGAAGACTTAGCATTTAAAGCAGATTACACAAGATTTGAATTCTTTGTTGTATAATGACCGGTATGCATGGATCACAGATTTAAAAAATATTCATTAATAATAAACATGAAAAGGCACGCTCCAATTTATATTCTCTGTAAAAACAGTTGGCCTTTTCAAGACTTCCTCGTAAGAGACATCAGTTTGGGCAGCAGTAATACTTCATTTACGCCCACATTCAGTTTCTGTAATTGAAAAAGATAGGAATCCCATTATTATGCCTTAGAGCGCAGGTTTTTGTTGAGTTTTGTGAGGTTTTATCATGAACTCTATTTCTCTCTCTCACTCTCTCAAATGCAATTACCTCCTGTGACTCCTGAATCTGCTGCGGACAGCGCCATTAAAACTGGGTACCAATCATTCTAATTAGGGAGGCTGCACCGCGAAAATGGAACCATTTTGTTGTGAAGGTGTACCGAGGCTATAATATATATATATATATATATAGGCCTCCTCTATCTCTATATATAACACATTTACATATTTGCAATTTTGCAAACTAGATTCGGTGGCAACATTCCTGAAAAAATGTTTTTTTCTTAATTGGATACAAGAAATGCCTAAGGATCCCCGAAAATGAGCTTGAAAATATTGCGGGTGAGAGGGAAGTCTGAGGAGATGTTGGAATACTGTCACCAGTGGGTACAGACATTTTTTGAGATGAAAATAATTGAGTTTGTGCCGGAACCGTTTTCTATTAATTAGATTGCAGGAGCTTTTATACGATTTCATATGGTTGGTGATTTCGTGAACTACTGTTATGATTCTTAACAGCAGGTAAAACCTGTTAGGCAGAAGTGTCAAGAGCAGGAAGAAGTAGAAATGATTCCACATCAACTTTAACATTAATCAGTTTTTACGTGTCAAAGACAATTATATTTTGAGAATTTAAAGACTTGTGTGCCATGTATATGTAACTAAATGGCATTTTCTAACTTTCAGATATGCTTTTGGTTCTTTTTAGTCTGTTCATAATGAGGACTTTTAGAAAATCCAACATTCTAGACCTAATTAACTGAGGCAGAAGGCATCAACAGTTTTAAATAGAGACTAACTAGAGATAAAGTGTGTTTTGCGGCATGTATAGAAAATTAATAATAAAAAACAATTAGCATGAACCTCGGAGGTAAGCCTTTGAACTCATTTGGGCCTTGGAGACAGCAATAATGACGATGATATATTGAGCTATAATTGAATCTGAATTCAATCATTTCTATATAGCGTTTGGCACAGAATGAATGAGCCTCACTTTAGGGAACGGCTAAATGATATAGTGGAATTTGTTGCTCTAAATCTGAAGACTTTTAAGATAGTTGAATGGGATGACCTTAACTTCTATGTCTTTTTCGTTTGATTTATGGGGTCGAGATGAAATATGTTTGTCAAATTAAGCATCAGAGGTCCAGGTTCTTGAGAGTAAAATATATATTATAACATTGGCCTCTATAAATGGTTGCAGGACTGATTGCAGGACAATTTGTGACAATTTATTTCAGTCAGCTTTATAATTTTAGAAATGAAACAAATCTGTGTGTGAATATTTGATTTCTTGCCTGCATGAATCAAGCCATCCATCTGCTTCCTTTGAGTTTTTTCGTCTTTGTGTTTTTAAGGTAGGTTTTAACAATGAGTTGGTCTGCAGAGTAATTCATCTTCTGCAAACATTATATTCACAATTTTACGATATGAAAAACTGTTAGTTACAGTGAAGCACTTCCACCATATGAACAAACGCTTTTCTTACATCTTTATACTTTTATTTAAAAAAAGAATCTGGGAGCGATTTCAGAGGAAGTCTGTTAGCAAAACACATTTCTTTTCTTTTTTAATCAGTAATTGCCCATTTTGGAGCCGTAGACGAGACAGCAGAGGATTGAGAGAGCTATTCGCACCACTAGATGGCACAAGCAGAACATTAGGAAGGAAGATATTTAATAAATATAGCTGTTTTCATTTCCAAAACGTTTTCTTATGATAATGTTAACATCCATATTGTAATTGCCTGTAGGCAGTCAGCACCATGTGACACACTCACTGTTTACTCACGTTTGCGCTGCGAGATATGAGATGAAACAAAAAGCTACACCTTTCTCAGGAGCGTTCGTGATGAAGACCACTTGTTATTGAATCAGAGCTCAACATCTGGTCACGGTGACACGGGCTGCTTCTCCACAAGCAGCCGGTCAAATCCGATCTTTTTTGCCTCGTAGGTGCTGCACATCCTCAAGGCCACACAGTTGTCTCACCAGATTACTTTTTTCATAATGTATCTTCTAGCAAGTATCTTTTTCTTAGTGATGGATGAGCTGGAGAACGAATGAATGCAACAGTGGAGGCTCCTCTACAAAGGACTCCTTGTCACATTGGTTTTGTTGGTTTGGCTCGCACAAAACATTTTACTGTAGAGCAAGCACACACAAAACAACACGCATCTGATGACCAGGGTTGTTTTAGGGATTCGTCAGATTTTTATACAAATGAAGGCTTTTTTCTTTATGTCTGGCAAGATTGAGGATGTTTCGTCCATCCTGCAGTTATGCAGTTAGATCCAAGATGTGTCTGTTCTTTTTTGTCCAATAAGGTTTTGATGTAAAACATATCAACATCTATTTTAGGGGGAGGAAATGAAGAATCTCAGTTATTATCATGGCACACAGAGAGTTAGGAGCACAAAAACAGATTAGAAAGGCTTAGTCTGTGACTGGTTATTCAATTAGTGGTAAAGTTTCTTAAGCAATAAACTCAGCAAACAGTTCATTAAATATGATTCAGCCCCAGGTAATTGTTTCGTGAGTGCGTACGTTATATAAGAGCATGTAGTAACATCCTTTCTGCTCCTCAAATACATTTTTTGTTAGTCATAGTCAATGATGAAGTCAGCAGCTCTGCACCTTTGGTTTCTCTGGAGTTGAGAATTCAATTGTGTCACCAATTTTACTTTTGTGACATCAGATTTCCAGAGAAATCAAAGGTCAATGCACTGTGCTCAATGTGGCTGAGTGAGGTGAAAGATTCCACAGATCACATTGGAATAGCTTCTGTACAGGACGACAGAGTTAACTGGGAACTCGGTCAACAACTGGTAACAGGGAGGAAAAGAAGTCGCTGAATAAGTCTTTCTCACTCCGTATGTATGTGTCCGTATTCATAAAGGGAACGCATGGAGATACGAAGGAAGAAACCACAATATCAATGAATTAATTAATAATGCAAATAATCATTAGTTGCTGCCCTTGTTTGCAGTTTTTTACTTGATGATGTAACATTTTTAAGTGTTTATGGAGTATTTTGTTTATGAATACATATTGTATTGACCAAATGCATGTTGACAGAGGTTTGTTTCTATGCTAAGCAAAGGGGCTTTTTCAATCTTCAGCATTTACCTTCAATGCTGAATCTTTTAAACCCGACACACACCACCTTTGTATCTCCTGGATAAGACGGCAACAAAGGAAAAGATGATCCCATCTCCTCATTGTTTGAAAGCTGTGCTGTGCAATATTTAGTTTTTCATCTCCTTGAGAGCATAAATTATTAACAACAAGGATCCTTTTCAGGCTAAAGTGGAGGCCTACACACGTTGAAAAACAAAATAATTAATTTGAAAAACTGGCAGAGTTGTGCATTTCTGAGCTAGAGGTGAATTAATGGAACAGTCGCGGAGGAATCACAGAAATAGCGCTTCCTGAGCTGCAGTGCTCGCTGCTGCCGTTGGATTTTCTTAAAAGAAGCAGAGCTTAATAAAACCTGACCAGCATGTTAAATCAGGTTTCAAGCTGATTTCTCCGCTGCTGAGGCGTGCATCCCCCCCCCCCTACATTGTCCAAGCCGCTGTAATCATTTGAGGCTGAATGTGGGAACACTTCAACCAACGTTAAGAGCATGTAGCACGGCTGTCTGAAATTGCACCTTGCTGAGCGACATTGGCTCCAGCCTGGTTTGTTATTTTCAGTGTTTGGGGTTGTTATTCTCTGTGGAGTTGATAATGTCCCTGCACCAGCGGACAGGTCACGCCAAACGTCCCAAGAAATACACAGATTAAATGTATTGGATGCAATGACATGAAGTCTTATCCAGGGTCCCCAAAAAATGCAAATTCTCCTCCAGCATCATCATGACGTTGACATTGTTCCTGTTTGAGAATCCTTCTGAAGAATCAAATCCGTGTAATACCTCAGGTAGCTCATTGTTAAAATGCCAGCAGAATATATTTAATTTCAGAAGTCGGAATCAGAATCAGAATCGACTCCAATGAAATTTCACTCCGGTTTCCACTTTGTTCTTCAGTCTCACGTGTGTTTGCCTTCAGTGTGAATTAGAAATCATTGGACTGATGATGCAAATCGTAAACATGTTACCTGTCAGTATATTCGTATTAAGTTCAGCCTCCTCCAGCTACAACTCTTATGATATTGCCTCTTGATTCATTGTCTCATATGAGGTATTTTTGAAAGGTGCAGCTTTGCCAAAACATGACGCCATCACTGCAAAACAACTCTTTTAATTTGATTGTTTTACATTAAAAACACACACTGAATGTTGCATCACAAAATGAGAAAAAGCTATTTTGCGATAACAACAAAGTAGAGCCAAGAATCAGCCATCGTCGTCACCACCAAGAGAAGCGAGACGCGTTTGTTTGACGCCCCTGCAGGTAAGTTTGTGTCGCTCTGAAGCCACAACATAAGATAGTACACACGGACAGCAGGTTGAGTCACAGATGGGAAATCATAACTCAAATAGTCTCACAAAGCACTTGAATTCATTCCTACCTGTAATGTACATTACCATGACGACAGAGACCAAGCCGGAGTGAACATGGACTCATTTTGACTAAATCCTCCACATTTTCTCACACAATTGCTTTTGGTGTGAAGCCGTATATGTCGCCGCTATTTTCCGAGGACACTGAAAGGTTTCGGAGAGACCTGAATCGAAAAAGAAACCTGGTGCTCATACAAAAGTTTTCCCTTTGTGGTAAGCATGACATTCAACTTCCCTCAAAATGCTACTGCCTGTTACATGACATTCCCACCTGAACGCGTCTCCAGTGAATGTTTTATTCAATTTCCTTATGATGAAATCTAATTGTGGTGCCCATTTTTTTGAGAAAAAAAATCCCACATACCACAGACCTTATATGAAAAAAACTCGGAGCGGAACCCTCCTTATGCTACTTTATATCATAAAAAATGTTTTAATTGTATTATTATTTCTAGTTGGTGAAAGTCAAAATGAGGCAACCTTTGATAAAGTGGTGGTAGCCGTCTGAAAGCACATTCTCTTCATTAAATAATGGTTTGACAGTCTCGGCAAAGTTACTGGAGCAGTGTTTTGAACACGGCCGTCTGGCAGGCAAACAAATTTAGATTCTGTTAGCTGCGCTCTGGGTTTAGGTGCAGCAGCTAGAAGCAATTTATTCATATAAATTGACAGTAGGAGTATGACATCCCTTTAAAGATGTCTGTAGGGAACAGCTTAACACCCCTGGAGCAACGTAGCAAACATGCCTTTTAGTAAACTGACTAAACTAAAACTGACGGGTGAAAAAAATATGCAAAATGCAGACTGAAAAAAATTTGGATTTCACTATTTTCAGAGTTAAAACTTCAAACTGCTCACACATCCCCAACCACCTTTCCCTTCAAGGCAATCAACTAAGAGGTGATGAATTGCTCTTTAAAATATTTTTTCAAAAGGGTATCCCGTTATCTAACCCATGATTTTACGCCACCTAATGTTCAATCTGTACATTCGAAGCTTGATATCTCACCTGGGCCTTTGTCAAAGGCCGGTCCTGCAAAGAGAAAGAGACGGATGGCACACATGTACAGTAAAGCAACACTGCGGTCCAGCATTTGCATCGGCAAACGAGAGCAAGATAGATTGACGCATGCAGTTCAAAACCAAGTTTGTACAGTTCATTTGGCAGTGCGCAACATGTTAATGTGTTTGTTACATGTGCACATGGGCTAATCCCTCTGTATGGGTTGCTGTCCCACCTGGCTTCTGGTTTTCTTTGTGCACGCGTGTGGGGACACAGACCGGTCCGGCATAATGGAGGCCACGCTCCCACTGCAGTACAGTGCAGGCTGACAGAGGGGGCCGATAAGTCCGGCCGACAGCTCCTTAATCCCCATTAGTGCCTCAGGCGGGGCGTTTTGACAGAATGCAGTGCTGTCCTCAGGCCAGTCCCTGTTCTTGTCCTCCTGTCCCCTGTCAAGGAACCTGCACGATGCCCCAACAGAGGATGCGGTGCCACCAAGTGGAGGCGGCCGCTGTGCGGGTGTGGCACTGAGGGACAAGGGGGGGGAGGGCCTCAGCAGGCAATCTCCTCCAAGGTGCCCAGCGTCGTCTGCAAGGGGACTGTAACCGTGTGGCTGATGGAGTCCGAGTGGTTTGCCACTGGGTCACAGGAACTCTGGGAAAAGAACGATTTTAAAGCGTTTAAAGTTGTTTAGTGCTCGCTCAGACTAGCCAACGGAACGGCAATATTCATTTCAGGCATCCTAGTGAAGTGTGTGTTTCTGGTGTGCAGCGTTGAGCTTATTTGACATAACACTATCACGCCAGGAGATCCCAGTCACATTAGATGGGCTGTTAACAGTACATGATTTAACACAATCTAGTCAAAAGACGTGGCTTTTATCATTTACTGTAGTTCTGTACTCAAGCAATATGTAATCTGCTAAAGGCAAACGCCAGAAAAACCTTCTTCCAATGCAGCATGTGTTGCATTGTTTACATGCTGCTATTGGTTTTAGATTTGCTAGGTGCTCTTTCCATGCGCTTGTGGGCTATAGGACAAGGCTGCATGAAGTTACACTCAACATAGGAATTGATAAGGGGGGGAGGGTGTTAGAGGCCACTCTTACCACATCCTCCCCATGACTCTCCTCCTCCTCCTCTTTGCTCAGTAAATCCAGCAATCTGTCTTTCACCACCTGCAGATTGGGAAATAAAAGTCAGAAAAGCACAACTTGCCCATTCAATCGAACATGCAAAACGTAGCAGCGACCTGTGGGTTTATTATCCCCATTATTACGGCGATTAAAAACAGGGGGAGGGGTTTTCTATATTTCCACACCACTCCACCAAGGAGACAAAGACTATCAGAACGTCAGAACGCCGTGCAGCTGAAAGCAGCAGCAGACGCTCTGAAGAAAGTCACACGGTAGAGCGAATGTAATGGAAAATCACAAGCACACATTCCTTCATCTCAGGCCGGCTCTGAAGTAAATCCAGCTCTTTGTATCAGATCTGCTTTTTTATACGAGTGACATTGCTTTTTGTTCTCAGCTTTCATGATCGTTTTTTTTTCCAGCTCTTCACTGAGTGAGACCCTTTAAAGGAGTGACATGCTCGCGTAATTAGACGTTTCAACAGTCATGTGTGAAAAAAAAAAGGTGGAAAACAAGCGTCTTAAGACCGACCTCATAAGCGTAGTCAAACAGCTCCAGGATGGTCAGGATGCTGGCTCCGATGAACAGACCCATCTGGCCCCCGATATCACCTGCAGACAAATAGGATATAGGATATGTAAGTAAACAGTGTGAAACCATAAACCGGCCCAAACAAACAGCTCCTGAACGCAATCCTCTGTTTTCACCCCGTCTACTATTAGTCAACATATGGGTTCTAGGTTTGCTTCACTCCCAGACCATTTCCAAACATTGCGGCTTTTGTCCATTACTTGGACAATACTGAGATAAGTGAAAGCAAAACGCTAATAAATTAAAACAAACGGGGGCATTGACATGAGAGACACCTCAGCTCACAGTGCCGGCAACTTGATGATGAGTTTTTTAAACAAACTAAGACAAATCCAGTCAGACATATTTGAATTAAAGTAGCATGGCAGTGAGTAATGTAGACTGGATCCAGGTTTGGAAAACAAAGGGAACCTTGAGTAGAACTTACCCAGCAAGCCTGCGACCTCGTAAGCTTTCTTTTGTTCGATGGTCTCATAGTTCAGAGCCTCGAAGAACACATCCAACACTAAGATATTGTCTCTGCAGAAAGAAAAAATGGGCTTTAGATCTAAAGAATCCAGTACCAAACAAGACCTGGAGTATTGCATAGGCGTTAAAGATCGTTTAGTTATTTTTATTCCCTTATTCATATTATTCTGTGCATTTGAAATACGGTAATTCTACTCATCATCCTAACCTTTCGAGCCGTGTCAGCGGCTTATTTAATAACTTTGTCACTTGCTACTCACGTAATGTATTTCTCCGACTTGTTGAACTTCTTCTGGAGGTAACGGGCCGAGGTCTTGCTGGGGATTTTGACCATGGACAGCTCTTTGTTGTAGCGGGTCATGTTGCACGGCGCCCTGCACATGCAGTTGCTGCTCTCCACAGCCGACAGTTTGGCTTCACGCCGGAGGGGGCGATGGAAAGGGGAGAGGCGGTTGAATGTAACGAGATGTGGAAGGACGATGACGATGAGCAGAAGGAAAAATGTTGAGACTTTTCCTCAATATAGTTCCATGTACACAATACAAATAAAAGCACTCCAATATCACTTAACAGATCATTCACTTCATTTATTGGTAGAAGTTATATTTCTATATAATATAATACGGCGGCAGTGAATGTTGCACATGCTGGTTATATCTCAGTAAATGGGTTGTTCTTGACATTGCCCCGAAGAACATTGAAAAAGGTTCAACGTAGAGGGGAAAAATGAAAAGGCAGAAAATTTAATCTTAAATGCTTTAAAATGGAAAACCAAAATACATGAAAAAAAATATTTTATAATTTATCTCAATATAACTATTTATCATGGTTTAAGATGAGTAATTTAGAGCTCAATGTTAATAATGTTCTTCTTTCCTTACTTCTATCTTTTTTTGGTATCTCAAGACTACGATAAACCTGAAAAATCATCAATCATTTGAAATAACATCATATTAAATTGTCTGAAGGGAACAGCCACCACAGCCCAAAACGTTTAATCAGTGCCATCTGCACATCAGAGAGCAAATAAATATTTACAGAAACTGAAGACGGCGGTCACATTTCAGATTGTAAAAACACACTTGTACCTTCAAACACAAGTACACAAATACCACAAAGCATTGCAAACATGGCCCCTTTCATACTGGGCCTTGAGTCATGTGGGTGTTTACTCCATAAAAGCCCGAATGACAGTATAAGTCAATGTCACTGTCAAAGTCACAATATCTAACGCGCCAAACACAAACACCCCCTCAAGCAGCATCCGCGAAAACAGCCTTCACCCTGACAGAGACAAAGCCCCGATGCAGAAATGCCAGCCTCTATTCACGGCTCTGCTTTGGCAGTTTGACTCAGAGAGAGAGAGAGAGAGAGAGCGAGAGAGAAAAACCCTCAGCTGAAATGCATTGGATGCTTTCGTGTTGAGCCCACAGCCACCAACAACTCTCGCAGTGACTGTAATGTTAAGCGACACAGGCGATTCAAATATAGCTCCTAAAAAAAAAAAGCTTCTCTGGCATCGAGGCTGCGCATACTTCCCACAGTGGGATTTTAAAAAGTTTAAATCGGGCTCCATTGAGTTCTTTCAAAAAAACTGCTCTCTCTCTGGATTTCAAAACCCCAAAAGCCCTGATTCTGTGAATGGGAAGCAGACGGGAGCATCTCCAGCATTAGTTCTCAGTGCGTCGGCTCTGTGGCGGACCCGCAGATCGCAGAGAAACAGGCGCCCCCCCCACCGCTCACTAATAGCCGGTGGGACCACACAGTCACGTAATTGCAAGTGGAAATTCAATATGGCTTCTCTGGGGTCTCTTTTTTTTTTTTTTTCAAATAAAACATTATTGGATACACAGGAGCAAGGCCTTGTGCATTCAAATGATCAAATCAATGATTGATTTATTTTTCTGATCCCCTTACCTTTGTCCACCGCCCTCCCTCATTTACACTCACACATTTAAATATAAAAGATAAAATTACCATAATATATTATTTAATCCTCACTTTTTTTTTTCAATGTTGGAACAATAACACTTTGGACAACTGGAGATGCCCGTGTTTTCTAAACTCCAGAGCAAATGAAAAGCCAGTTGTTCAGAGAGGAATGGATGCAGACGTCTACAAAACCCCAGTGACGCAGTTGTAGAAAAAACAAAATCCAACTTGTGAAATGTTCTTTGACGGGAACAACAAATTGCCACCGCCTTTAAAACAAGAACACATTTGCATTCAATGATCCAAACTATGTGTGTGTGTGTGGGAGGGGGGGGGGGGGGGCACACAGGAATATGCAAAATGTAAAAGTTTAACGTTTCTGGTTTTCAAAAAATTGTTTTCCCTTGTGGAGGGCGAGAGCAGAGAGAAAAGTGTGGGAGAAGAAAATTTCTCTGACGCTCCCACTGGCCAACAGGTGAGCATGATACTAATTAGTATTTTTTAAGTTATTTATTCTCTATAGGATTTCATTAGGGGTTAGGTGTCTTGCTCAGGGTTTGACAGCCTGGAATTGAACCAACAACTTTGTGCTTCCCAGCACACCTTCTCTAACCCCTGCGCCACAACGACCCACAATGACTTCAATATAAAGTCTTGCGATTTTTACCCTAGTGAGTATGTGTTGATATCACCACGGCAACAATAGAGGGTTGTATGGCCCTGCATTTATTTTCTGAAAAAGAGCGACAGCGGTCTTCATACTTTCAGGTCCGGAGTCAAATCCTTAAGATTAATTTATGTAATTTCGCCTTGACGTATGAGGCCAATTGGAGACTAACTTTTTCATCCTTTGACGTTTGTTGGGAGTCATGAGAGAAGTTGGTGTCTGGGCCGTGCCTCTATCTGAACAGAACTGCCTCCATGGAAATATGTCTCTAATAAATGTCTGTGGAAACCACTTCAACAAGTTGCCAACGGGCCCGACATGTACCCCAATGCGTGGCGGGCGTGTTGCCAGCTCGCTCTATCCTCCCTCGTGACCTTTTACCTCGATAACCGAATAGGAAATGACGAATGAAACGTCTCTCTCGTTACGATTCCGCTGCTTTAGAAGCCTAAAGGCCCTTGACTTTTAGACACGTTTCAAGGAACTAATTTAAATAAAATCATAATAAGTCACACAAAACATTAAGACACATGGGAACTTACCAAAAATAATCAGTTTAATTTCTTAAAACAGCTGGACGAGCCAACGGAGAATAAAACTAAAAGAGGTAATATAAAATCTTAAATTTGACGGATGGAGCAAAGGCTGCCAAAAAACTCTTAAAGGGAGCTTTAATTAACCTCAATGCAGGAAATATATCTCCTTTATCTATGTGACAACCCATCCATTAAATTGCCTGCTCTGATATTGTTTACAGACTAGATGAGCTCTTCGTACACAAGGGGAAGGATGAATGAGATGAATCCGGTTCTCTCGGCAAATCCGAAAATGAAGCAGCGACAGAGACGCCTTCCTCCATTTATAGGACGTAATGGAAGAGAACGTGACAGCTGAGTGACAGTCATCTCTTGACCGTAGAAATTTCCTTCTAAAATAATAACGGACAGCGAGGAAAAGACAGCGTGATGGTGGCTATTATCCCCCCCCGCAACCAAAGTAGACCTGTTACCTGCTGCAGTGCTTTTGACATTCACGATGACACGTTTCAGTTGCTTTTCAGTTGAGCCGAGCCGGAAATTCTCTACGGTGTTGTTAGTGTTTAAAGCGGGTTTAACATTAAAGCTCTGTATCAACAGAGGAAAGCTAATCCTCATGCGTCCCTGAGACGGGTAATGATATGTAAACAACAAAACATTGCATGTGTGTGTGTGTGTGTGTGTGTGTGTGTGTCGTTCTTGAGGTTGTGTGATCTTACCGAGGGCCGGCTCGGCACAGTCCTTGTACTGCTCCGGCGTGCAGTAAGAGGCATCGCCTGGAAGAACCGGTAAATGAGGAGCAATTAGTCGATGGTGGTGTATGTATTAAATACTTGAAAGACAGAAGGGTGAATCTACAAACAACCTGCCAGACACATAATTCTTTTTCTTGTTTTATGCCGACAACTTTATCTAGTATTGACTGATGACATCAATACGAGGCCTCTCCGCGCCGTCTAATCGCGCATAAAATACTGCAACCTTGCTAAAACTGTTGCTCTGTGCGTGTTAAACACACCCACATATCGTGTGGAAATCAGACTCACCAGGCATGTGCACCATCCTGCAGTTGCAGTTCTCTACGATGTAGCGCGTTTCACAGTCAATCCTGCAGGCCGTTACGCTGTAGACCTGGAAAAAGCCCGACTCCAGAGCTTTGGATTCGCACTCTCCCCACGGGGGAGGCAGGTAAGTCAGCTGCGAGTGAGAAAACATGATATGGGGGACAGTTAGGAAACCAATAAGGGCAATAGAGGTGTTATCACAGCCATCTCAGCGCCTCCAGTGCCCCCGCACCATCAAATAAGATGGAAATAAAGAGCCACAATCACGAGAAAAAATGTAAATGTAAATACATATATGCTTTTAAAGTATTAAACATTTTTACTATTCTTTCACGTATAACGTGGGCAGATCCATACGGCAGCCCTCCAGATGCATTGCTTCCTCCTTGAGCCAAATACAAAGCAGCAGAAGAGCCTCCCAACAAACCAGGCGGTGTGGAAAAAACAATTCAACAGATAGCCAGCCTCTGTCAGAAAAATCCCAGGCCGCCTGGCAATGGGAGCACGAAAACTCCAAATGTTCTCCTCCCGCTCCCGTGGCTCCAAGGGCTGGGACAGCAGATGAAGAAGGAGGGACACCGGACGGCGCAATGTGGCCCATCTGCTCGGAAACACGAGCCGCCGCCGCGTGCTCTGCTCTGCATCCCTCACACTCTGTTCCCCAGTTCCCTCCATTGTCATCGCAACGCGTCCCAACTGGGGATTATTCTGCCAAAAGAGCAATTTCTTTTGGGATGAGGCAAAACACAAAATCCTGCCAGGTGAAATTTGGCCGCAGTCTGCGTGTTAGTGCTCACAGGACATGAAACCCTGTCTCTGCTTTTTTAGGCGACGTTGATCTGAGCTTCTCGAGGTTGATGCTTTAGGTCTTCAGATCATTTTACCAAACATAGGACGATGAATCAAAACAGAACCAAAAGCCCCGATCCAGCATGCTGAATATTGCATATTATTGAGTCTGAGAGCCTCAAGGCATTTCTGGACACGGCTGCTATGTCTCCTGTGATAATTAAACATGCCTTCCCCCGAAGCCAGCAGAAAGCACAGGCTATGAATACCAACATCCATATGCTATTAATTATATTAGGGACCAAAGAAAGGTGCTTTGCAGCACTCCTTAATCTTCAAAATCACCTTCACACCTCTGCCAATCTTTACTTCTTTGCTAATTGGAGTCAGATGTGGCTAATTGGATTATTTCTCTGTAATAAAATAAGCCAAGATGCTCAATATCACTATTTTTTTAACTAATTTGAGACCCTGTTGACCTGAATTATTATCTATCTAATAAAAAACAAGGCCTGTATCACACTCACAGTGTTATTAACTTATTAATCAATGTTGCTGTTAGAAAGTTGGATTTGTTAACAATTTGTGTGGGAAACTAAACTAAACTAAAGACTAAAACTGAGCACAGGTTTAGTCTGGACATCAACACCAATATAGTCAATTTGTATTTTAAATACTAATATAATGGCATAACTTTATTGTTTTATCCTATTAAATTTTTTTGTGAAATTGTAATAGTTTGTAAATGAATTCCCGAATTGTGGCAAGAACCTTCTTGTGAGGTCACGATAACCTTTCACAAATATAATTCTAATCTATTCAAGGGTAAATGTAAGTGAATGTGGTATAATGGAGTTTTTGAATAACGGATTTCTCAACCGAGAACAACACTCTTTTTTTTTTCTCTCTTTTCGCTTCAGTCAAAAGCCACAATTTCTATGTCTGCAGAGCTATAATCCAAAAGTGGCTGTCTGCGTTTAAAAACACTTTTTAAAATGTGTTTCCCAGGGCATCATGTCAAGTATGTAATTCAATCATCAGTATTAAGTAGAGTCTTTGAACAATTTAGTTTTTATTAAAGAAGAAGATTGAAAACATAGATGGGAACATCTCCCCGCAGGAGGTGTTTTCCCAGACTTCTTACACAACTTAAACTGTGCATCAATTAGCCGGAGCAGATTGTGTTGTGTTCCCCGCTGTGCGGCCTCGTGGATTCGGACAGTGTTTTCGCAGCAGGCAGTCAGCCTGCCAGTCATAGAACTGGGCAGAGAGATGACAGACTCCCTGGTGGCTCAATAGTCAGGAGGCCTAAACATCGGCGGATTGATCTCTCCTGCTTCCTTTCTAACTACCGCTGAGTCGACTCTGCATCGCAGCGCCACGCCGAGCGGTGATGTACCGAAGGGAGACAAAGTTTCAACTGAATTGGGCTTAATGTAAAATATTGGAAATCAAAACTGAACTCCTTTTTTCACGTTATTTAATTCACTCACCAACCTTTAAGAACATATTCAGGCCGGTTACGGCGATCCCTCATCCGCAGTTTGATATAAATGTATCAGCGATGATAAGCAACAAATGTGAAGCAATAGTCTGTTGTGTTGGGAACTGACTTGTTTGACCTTTAGAGAATAGTTTGTATTTAGTGGCTATAATCAATATTTTTGTGGTACCAACACATCACATGAGTGAGAGGGGTCTCTTATAGTGAACTATTCCCCAACCCTGCAGTTCACCTCATCTCTACGAGGCTTCAAAGCGCCTTTCGGCTCTCCGTTTTCATTTTCAGGGCAGTTGTCTTGAGTGAAAAAGCTTTTACATAACCAGCACCAAGAAACCAAAAATGAATTGATATTGCAGACAGAAAAGACAATGATGGAACTGAAATGAATCTAACTGGTAAGTGAAGGACAATCTGCTATTGAGTCACACAAGTCATTCATGGGTTGAGGCACCGATCTACCAACAAGGTCAAAGCAAACAAACGGTACGAGGCCAGAAAGGGCCAATTTAGGTTGTAGAGGGTATATGTTATAATAATCATAAAGCTATTGACTGTGTAGAAGTGACATATACCCTCTGCTCTTGTGTGGCGACAAAGGTCTGGAAGCCGGGGGCCACGCCGAAACCCAGCTCGTGAACGAACGGGGGCTCCGCCTGGCTGTGGATCTGCACACGCACACCCGCCTCGAACGCCGTATCCTCTGCAAAGGAAGACAGAGGGAAAGACGATGTTAGATTATTATTATTCTGGCAATAAATGAACCGGCGTGTGCCGAAAACACACAAACATGTCTGACTTTTTCCACTGGCTCACACAAATGGGAGCAAAAAATATCTGCTCCCACAGATGCTTCTGCAGAGAGTAAAAAAAATGAATTTCCTGCATGAAACATTTAGCAAATTAGGCCCACAAAATGTCTGAGACATTCTGTCTCATGTTTCTTGACTTAAAACACCGGAGAGAAGAAGGAGGCTTGCTGCTGACTCCCGGACCTTTATCCTGCAATTTAAATCACATCAGCAAACACACACACACACACAATTATGGGCAAGGACAAAAAGAGAGCCATGACATTTATGGGGGGAGAGAGAGAGAGAGAGCGCAAGAGAGAGCGCTCTGTAAAAAATCGATAATGTTCTCTACCCATGTCTCCACTTTCAGCGGTGAGCTGCCGGATTTTCAATCAAGGCTTCCCGTGCCAGACGATCAGTCAGACGCCTCGCTTTGCAACCAACAAACCGCGGAGCCTTTTAGCCTGTGAGGCCAGCCTCAACAAAGCACAGAGAGCACGCACCCGTACACACACCACTATGTTAAACTCATCAATCAAATCATCTGCAGCGACTGCTGTGGCGACAGCTTGGGCGCGTTCACACTGAAGAATATAGATGAAGAGATCAAGCGCGCACGCTTCACGGCTGTTTGTGTTTGAAAACGGCGATTCTGAAAGAGTTCAGATAGTGTTTGTGATTCTGTGGTTTTGTGTGTGTGTGTGTGAAAAAGAGCATGAACGAAACATCTGCTGTTTAAGAAGGATAATTACATTCTGAGTGTGTGTGTGTGTGTCGGATAGAGAGATCATGGTCATGAATGTGCAGGCTGACGACACTACGAGACTTTGTGTGTGTTTGTGGAACTTAAAATCTGTGTTGCGTGCTTGTCTCTGTTTTGTCCAGTAAAATGTAATGTCATGCATGTCCTGCATGTCCAGTCTTGTGCTTGTATGTAACTGACCACTTTTATTTCCTTTACGTCTCATCCTCCTCTGTCCAACTCTAAGAAGCTCTGTGCGTTTAGCCCAAACCTCTGTTGAATTGGCTTCATCTACTGTACTTACTGGGAAAGGATTGGTGCAGCACGACGTGTTTCCAACGGAGTTCACTGAAAATGGGCAATTCTACGTGGACACCTAAACACTTCATCCATATGGGATTGCTGAACGTGTAAAACTAACATGTATAACAGCCTCCGTTTGTCGAGTTTCAGGATTTGCACCAAATTTTCAAACCTAAAATTGGGCTTAACGCTGATCGGCCACAGGAGCACGAGTGAGATCCGCCACTGACGAGGCTCGGCCAGGTCTTGTTTGCTTGTTCCAGTTCACCACACCGGTGTCCACATGATGTTGGCCATGTCGTACTATCTGGTCCTCTTGGAGCAAACCAGGCTGGTCCTCCATTAGGAAACCAGATGAAACCAGGTACATTACTCATATGACATATGCCTTCTTTTTAAACTGCACTTACCACTGTAAATAAGCAACTGCATTCCCAAGGCTGCACAGGGACGTCTACGCAACACAAAAATATAGGCACAAAATGCACCAGCTGTTAATTATGACAAATGAATACGCCGCCCAGTTTGGCTGTTCGGTGGGTAACAATTTCTACTAGAGGCATCTGGTGCCTGCATATGCATTGTTGGTTACTATGTTTGGTCATGGAATGTGCTAATAATAAGATGCAAGATAAAATAACTGTCATTCAACAAGTTATTCTTTAACATAAATACTGTGTTTATGGGCAAAAGTTCAATAAGATCCCATTTTGCTGGTTATATGGTTGTAAACATAGCTGTGTTGCTCTCGGTAAACAATTAGCTGAAGCAATATAATATTGTTACTGTTCTAACCGACAATTCCCTGTTGCAAAATAATATCTGTCGATTATCTATTTGTTCAGGTGCTGCGTGTCGATTACTTGGCGACCAAAGTGCTTGCTGTAAAACAAATATGCACGTGCAAATATATTGGATTGATAAATGTGTATTGAACTTGCTGTCAGATCTTGAACGCTGAATTAAATTAGAAATACTGAGAAACAAACTGAATTGATTTTCTCAGAAAATGTGATTTTTAAAAGCTTTTCTGCTTTTATCAATATGAACAGTAATCCACAATGATGACATGCTATTTGAAAATGTCACGTACATGGTATTCAAACTGAGAATGCCATGACATTACACAGGAAAAAGAAAAGGCATCAAAATAATAAATACAACTCAGGACTACTATGACTTTGATTTGTCTGAAAAGCAGCCGATTTTTAACAGTGAAGCCTGAAATATGACTCAATCCTCCAATCTATTTTTCAAGTATTGACTCGCTTCAGCCCCAATTACCGTCCAAATTTAATCCATTACGTCTGCCGGTTATACTCAAACAGATGAGCGTATACAGTACGTAAATGTGGTCAGTGTACAGACTCATTTGCACACCAATGACTCGGCCACATGGGATTTGTCCGAGGGTGAAGCTGCTACAACTTTTGAGTCAATTTAGTTGGTTCAAGTGTGTAAGATCATGAGAGGTACAGCAGACTTCTCTACTTTTATTTCATCCGTTTCCCTGCAAACTTACTGTGTGTAGGGAAAGAGACAACTCACAATTTACAAGAAGACAGATAATGAAAGAAACGACCTCCAAAAAGAAGCAAATGTGCACCACAGGGGCAGATGAAGTTCACCCACACACGCATTGATTAAAGATTCACCGATATGGCTTAAAAACTAAACTCCCTCTGGCAGAGACGCAGAAACTGTGTGGTGCACTTAACGAAAAATACGCTTCCAACAAGCAAAAGTAATAGTTTGACACACACAATATCGCACGGAGGAGCACATCCCACTAACCAAACACCTCAAAGGGAAGCAAAGCGTGTGGTAAAGATAAAACAAATCAGGGTGTTTCCACTTCAGCTTTGTAGTCGGTTTAACCTGTTGTTGTTGTTGTTGTTCAAACATCCTGCAGGTGCTTTTCTGCCTATTTTTTTGCCATCACTTTGATTTAATAAAAGCGTGCTGATGCAAGGTAAGGTCTTAGCACTGCACTCAGCGTAAGCCTTTATCTGTTGATAATAATAATTTAAATAAGGTTCAATGTTAGTGGACAGAAGGTCTGGGACCTCAAAAACTGAGACATGGTGTTCCTATGATAAACACAAGTTTCAATAATCCAATTCAGGATCAGGACAGTACGAGGTGTTCTCTGCCATTTACTACAGTCATGAATGACAATCCTGTCCTTCTAACTGTGTCTCAATTCAGCGGGCTGCATCATGTCAGTCCCGTTTTAGAGACCGCTCGGTTCGGTTGTTGGAGGACCCGGCTGGGGTCTACCGCGAAGGCCGGGTCCTCCAACAACCGCACAGGCCGAACCGAGCAGTCTCTAAAACAGGGCGGTCTACGCTATGAGGGCTTTTCCTACTTGTTTCATCAGCTTTACCTATGCTGCTCCTGTTGCCTAGCAACCTGCTGCGCTTGACATTAAAAGCTTTAAAATCTGAAAAAACGGTCATCTTCCTCTTATTTAATTTAATTTAGAGAGATATGCTTCACCTCTGGAGCATGATATATTTCAGGCTGTGAAAAGAACATTTTCTGGTTAAATAATATAATAATATATCAAATATATTATATTCATGATATTTATGTAATATATTTATAATATTTACAATGGTATTTAAGTATATTGAATATATACATATATATATATATATATATATATATATATATATATATATATATATATATATATATATATATTAATTATAAAACATTCTATGAATAAGATGTCCTTATTATGTTAAACTGAATAAATGATGGATATTTAACTGCGCATTTGATACCTTTTTTTTGCATAGAATCATACTGGAATGTTTGCTGAAACTGATTGGCTGGCCCTACCAAAAGAAAATCCCACCAGCTTACACCTAAAAGTCAACTCTTCCCCGCTGTTGGCTCAACTGCCTCCGTCCTGAATAATCCTCGTCAGCCTGCTGTGCACGATGGAATATGCTGGGCCGCGAAGGACAGATCAGATGTGTCCTCCAAATCACCGCCTGGGGGGCTGCGTCCCTCGACCGCATTCGGAGGAGCCGACGTAATGGGACAGCCGAGTCGCGTATGTTGTCAACGAATGTGTCCTTAAGGATGCAGCCCAAGGAATTGAGACATACCTTCGCTCTCTGTGATGTGGAAGTGACCAGGAGGAGCTGATACAGGAGGGGGGCACACAGATTGTGACACCTAAAACTAAATAATTCAAAGCCAAAGGAGGAATCCTTTGAGTAGCCTTGACGCATGACTTGTGTTTCAACTCTGCTCCCTGCAAGCATTTAATAAATGTCCTGTTCAATGATTTCACATCGGTCTGGAGAAAAAAATTTCAAATATTATCCACACACAAATAGGAGCCAGAATCTGAGATGAAGGATGGCACATAGACATAAGGAAGGAAGTTCACACTGGTGATGTTATACGTGATCAAAAAAGGACCTGGATGTAAAAGTAAAACAGTGTTAAAAAAGCCCAGAACTCTTTCCATATCACTCCTTCAATGATGCTATAAAAAGTAGACATAGTGGATGAGCTCAATGTCACCGTCTGCTTGTGAACTATGAAATGATCGGTCTTCAAATTTATCTTCCTGAAATCTTAGTCTCTGATATGAGAAGAAATTGAAAATTAATCTCATCCCAGTTTGACAAGCTGTGATGTTTTTGAAGGTCTTTTCTTCGCACAGCAAACATTATGTAGTTGTGGTGCTAAATGTAGACATGCGATGGGTGCTGAGTGTGCGAGCGGACTGCTTTGATCAGGACTGCTTGACAAATCTAACATCCCAAAGGCCTGCCTGGCGCTGCAACTGCAAATTTTTAAAAAAAGGCCAATGTATAGCAGTAGTTGAAAAAAATAAATAGG